CTCGGCCCACTTTTGGCGGGCGGGCCTTCTGCCACTCTGCCCTACCCTCTGGAACTCCATCCCACAGTCCCTCCACCTCATGCCCTCTCTTGCCCCTTTCAAGACCAATCTCAAGACCCTCCTCTTCGACCGTGCTTCCCCCTCTGTCCTCTACCCTCCCCGACTTCGACCCCCAGCTCGGGCCCAAAACTCTGTCTGTTCAACACCTTAGGACTTCCTCCCGATATGAAAGACGCTTTACAAATGTAATTTTGTCGTTGAAGCGTTCTCCCAATGCTAAAGGCGCTATACTAAATGTAAAGATTATTATCATTTCTGTTAGACAGAAAATCTTGTGCAAAAGAGGCCAACCTGCTCCATGTAATTTATAAAACCAAAAATCCCTTTAGCTTTCTTCAGCTTTGTCTCCTTACCTTGTCACTTTTAAAGATTTACATAAGTTTCCCCACATCTATGCTTTTAGAACTTCTTTTAAACTGTTACCCTTTAATGTACACTTGCTCCCGTATTCTTCCTCCTAAAATGTATAACGTGCACAATTCTGTATTAAATTTCTGTCTATTTCCTCCTGAGGTTGCCAAGGTTTCTTCAGTGTTAATATATGCTCATTTTGACTTCTATCAAAATGAGAAGTCCATATTTTTGTCCGCAGCAGTTAGAAATTATAAATAATAATAATCCTTGCATTTGATATAGCACTTTTCATGTCTTCTGGACGTCTCAAAGCACTTCAGAGAATATACTGTAAAGTGAATTGACTGTACATTTGTGGACGAAACAAGGCAGCCAATTGCGCACAGCAGTACCCCACAAACAGTCGTGGATTGAGTGACCAAATTATTAATTTATTTTCTTGAGGGACCATTATGAGGCATGTGGAGTAAGTAAACAAGGTTTCACTCTGCTGGGAATCAAACCCATGTCTCTCGCTTGCAAAGCGAGTAACCACTGAGCTACAGGACTCCAAAATTGTGCCCTTTTACCGGACTCCATATAATAAGAACATGAGCAATGCTAGACGAAAAGAAGATCAAGATCCATTTAGTTCGCCTTCCACCTTCCTGCAGTCACATGCACGTATATCCCGAACTACCTATGTACTATATCCCATAATGTTATTTCCTAAAAGAAAACTATCTAATCTGCGTTTGGAAGAATCAACACTTCCTGCTTCAACAATCTCCCTAGGGAGCCTGTTCCAGAGGCTGTTCCACATTCGCTCATTGAAATAGCGTTTGTGTAGATTGGTTCTGAATTTACCACTTCAATCGCAGGCCATGCCCTCTGGTTTTACTATTCTGCACAAGCTGTCATGATCTATATTGACTAGCCCCTTTAAAATCTTTAAGATGGCAATCATGTCGCCTCTCAATCTTCTTTTCCAGTGTGAACATGACCAATTTACTTACTCTATCCTCATAGTCCATCATTTTGGTTGCCATCCTCTGTATCTTCTCGATATCTCCAATATCCTTTTTGTACTGCAGCAACCAGAACTGTACACAGTATTCTAAGTATGGTCTCAACAATGATTTATACATTGGCAGGATTCCCCCACCATTTTGGCTTGCTATTGATCTTTTGATACCACTTTTTATACCATTTATATCACTTATGTAAATGGAGAAAAANGCACTGGTGCGAAATAAAGACGTCTGGGGTACACCATTGTTATATGTACTCCCACTCTGTTCTTTAAACAACTTTTTATCCAAGCTGCCATCTTTTCTATTAATATCGTTCAGCTTGATTGCCTTAACTAGGCCTCTTATGCAGGCAAATTATCAAAAGACCTTCTGAAAATCCAAATGCATCACATCCACAGCACTACTTTTATCCGTCAGCTTATCTCGCGTCTCAGTTTACCACTGGGAAACATTTCTCCGACTTCCTTCCTCTCAATAAGTCAGACTCAATTGTTTCACAAATCATAATACTGTTCACTCAGACTATAAAACTGCTGTCAAGTGATTGAAAGGTAACATTAATCTATTTTAATTTTGATCTTGACAAGTCAGTTTGGTTAACCGTAATTAGAGGCCATTAGTGAGCAAAGACTACTTTTCTAAATGACAGTTTTATTAACATGAAACAAAGTAATTTTCCAGCTCTAGAAAGAATAATCAGCATGGCTCGGACAGCTAATCTTGCAACACAATAGTTTCACACTGTCCAATACATCCTGTTCAGTAGGTCCTTTTCTTTTAGATTTGTATGTGTTCATCATCCCTTTCTGTTCATACATTTACACTCAGGCAAGAAATCATTATAAATGTAGCTTTGATTCTAATTTGAATACACGACAATGTAGATAACGGTACACAGACAAATATCCAGAATTTATAATCATGTACTTTACATTCAAAACCTAAACTAATTCCTCACAGAACAAATTGCATAATTCATATTGCATAGAATGACTACTATGGAGTAAGCCTCTAAGTACCTTTTTTTTGCATATACCATAGAGACAAACTAATTTTATGATAAAAGAGCCAATGGTCACTTTGTATATCGAGTTCTGTGACCTCCCAAAGTTTGGAATTTAATGCATTTGAGAAATATTGCTCGTTGCTCCCCTCAGTATACTTTTTTCGGCAGCCAGTAAGTAAACGTTGACAGAAACAAAACTTGTTTGTTAAGTATACACATTCTGGACCGATCTATATTAGAGAGAGAGAACCTTTCAAATCGAGTAATCAGTGCTCCAGTCATCAAATACAAATTTGTAATGTATTTGAACAATCCAGGTGCTGTGACAGGTTGTGTTGCCGCGCTTTGCGATGGAATTACGGCAGTCAATTTCGCACAGCAGTGTCCCACAAACAGTCGGGGATTTAAGTGACCAATTTTTTTTAGAAGGAATTATTACCCGCAGAAAAGCGATCCGCCAATCGACTAACAATCGGGTTCCCACTTACTACAACGTAAACAGAGGCGTGTGGAGTAAGGAGACTTGGCCAACATTTTGCCCCGCCGGGAATGGAACCCAGGTTTCTAACTTGTGAGGTGAACGTTCTAACCACTGAGAGCTACAGGACTCCACAAACAGTTAGAGTAAAATAACCAAAGAGTTAGAAAATCATGTGCTTCAATACTCCCCACCCCAGCGCATTAAAAGCGCAACACGATGAATGTCAGGGCACCTCGGTTTACACTTCAGGTGTTATTTCTAAAAAAAAATGAATGCCCACAGCAGTAAGTGGATCTGCTGACTCGGACTGCGCATGTCACACTTCGATAAAATTGATGATACAAGTTGATAATTCATAACAGGATTTATAATACATGATATATAATAGCATACATAATAAATATATCATAAATAAGAATGTAAACACAAATTTTAATACTGATGCAAAAAATACATTTTGTAGTAGGAGGGGGCCAAAGAAAAAGAAATGAGATTATTCTGTACAACTATTGCAGTTTCAGAATGCAATGTTGAGTTGAGGGCAATGCTTACTCGATGAATTCCACCAAAAATAAGCTTTCGATCCAAATCAATTCTTGATTTCACCCTCCCCCATAAATAAAAATTGCAATCCCACCTGCCACCTATGTGCTGCATTCAGAAATTATTCTCAGGAAGTTCCCAACAATTCTTAAGCATTAGTTTTCTTAAAAAGAAACTTGCAATTAAGAATGAATTTAGGAACGTGGAAGCTTCTTAAAATTCAGGCACGTGTCTTTCAAGAACAACTGAAAAAACAGCTGCAAAAATTTAAAAAAGCGCAAAAATTATTTTTTTAAAAAACGTGCAGATTCAGGAACGAAAGAAGAAAAGTCTAAGGTCAAGTCAAGAGTCAGTTGGAAGTGAAATTCACATTCTGTCTGGTAGTAATATTACTATTTTCTTAGCATTTCAGAGTATCCAGGAATTAACGAATTGTTGGAAGATCGGCTGTAACTTGCAGGTCAGTTTTCTGTTATGTTCTTAAAAGACTCCAACGGGGGGAAGGGGTGGAGAGAGAGAAGGTCTTCAACTTTAAGTCGAAGTTTAAGAAGCTGCCAAATTCTAGAAAGCCAAGCGCCAAAACAGAGTCAACGTCGAGCCAGATGGAATTCAGATTTAGATTCATTCCAACCCCAACTCTGGATATGTGAGACTTTTCTCCTCAGCATTTCTTTATTCTGTTTTTTATATAAGGAGAGGGAGAGCGAGAAAGAGAGAGGGGGGGGTGGAGGGACTCTTAAATTCCAGTCACTTGTGAAGCCTTTCTCTCTCTCCTCACCACCCCCCCCCCCCCCAAAAAAAAATATGGTGTAGATTCCTAAAGTAAACCTATTGGAAAGGTACAATTTCTCTTGTCGTCTCTTCCACCTCCTCCGCAGAGACCTGCAGCAGCAGTGTGTGAGAGTGAGGGAGGGAGGGAGTGTGAGGGTGAGTGTGAGGGAGAGAGGGAGTGTGTGAGGGAGTGAGTGTGAGGGAGCGAGGGAGTGTGTGAGGGAGAGAGGGAGTGTGTGAGTGAGTGTGAGGGAGAGAGGGAGTGTGTGAGTGAGTGTGAGGGAGAGAGGGAATGCGTGAGTGAGTGTGAGGGAGTGTGTGAGTGAGTGTGAGGGAGAGAGGGAGTGTGTGAGGGAGAGAGGGAGTGTGTGAGGGAGAGAGGGAGTGTGAGGGAGAGGGAGTGTGTGAGGGAGTGAGTATGAGGGAGAGAAGGAGTGTGTGAGTGAGTGTGAGGGAGAGAAGGAGTGTGTGAGTGAGTGTGAGGCAGAGAGGGAGTGTGTGAGTGAGTGTGAGTGAGTGTGTGAGTGAGTGTGAGGGAGAGAGGGAGTGTGTGAGTGTGTGTGAGGGAGAGTGTGAGGGAGTGAGAGAAAGAGAGGTGAGGGTCGGTCGGGAGAGTGTGGAGTGTTGCGGTGAGAGGGAACGGCAGTGGTTGCGGGGGCGGAGGAGCGAGACTCCGGGCAGGTTGCGGGGAGGGGGGCGGAGAGAGAGAGAGAGAGAGAGAGAGAGGCGAGTGTCACGGGGGGTGGAGGGGGGGCACCGGCCGCCGCTTTACCTGACTGGCCTTGTAGAACTGCTTCTTCAGCCCGGCCACCGACATCCTGACCGACTACCGGCCCCGACCCGACCCGACCGCACAGTCGTCGTCGTCCCCCCTCCCAACTCCTCCTGACTGTCTTGTCACCGCCTCTCCTCTCCTCTCCGCTTCTCGAAGCTCCTCGTCTCCCCTCAACAGCCACAGCCGCCTTTCCGGGCGGACGACGACTCCCAACGCGCGAACCGATCCTGTCAGGATCTTACATGGCAACCGCGGCGAACTGCCGCCAACGAGCGTCCGCACCCACTCCCCCGCCCCCCCCCCCGGCAAGATGGGGGAACGGCCGCGCGTTCAGAGACGCTTCCCTTCCTGCCTCCTCCCACCGCTGTTCTCCAGCTCCAGCGCCATCCCTCGGTTGGACGCGGCACCTGCGCTGACGTACACTCTGCGCTGGGTCCTCCAGGCACAGCGCCGCCTGCCGGCAGGGCAACTCCGGGCTGCCCGCGCCGCTTCGCACCAGTGCACAGCGCCCCCTCTGGAGGGAGATAGCATTGCCTCTATTCCTCTCTGCAGCTCTGTCATTGTTATTATTAATAATTAATAACAATAATAAAGATGGACTCAATTATCAATAATAATAATCCTTGCATTTGGTATAACGTCTTTGAGACGTCTTAATAATAATAACAATAATAATCTTTGCATTTGATATAGCGCTTTTCACGTCTTCGAGACGTCCCAAAGGGCTTCACAGAATATACTGTAAAGTGAATTGACTGTGTATTTGTGGGCGAACGCGGCAGCCGGTTTGCTAAACCCTAACCCTAATTGTACATTTAATCAATGACAATATTTTATATTGCACGGTGGACCTTTGATAGAATGTTTCTACTTGTTGGGTTGAAAAGGGAGGAGATAATGTAAATGATAAGATAGAGCATAAATTATATAATTTATATAGCACCCTCCAGGTGGGCAGTGTCTCGAGCCGGAAACACAGTCGAAGAGGAAAGTGGTCGCGTGCGATTTCAAGATGGGCAAAAAGAGGTCAAGATGGAGGGAAGGAAGCAGGAAGGTCCAGAGGTTTGGGGCACAGTGGCTGGAAAATAATCAAATCAACAACTGCAACTATTTATTTACATTTATATATCGCACTCGCCGCCTCAGGAGGACGCCTTAAAGTGTTTCACATACCCAACTGGGAACCTGAGCTGAGTGGAGCTGAGAAAGGTGCCCAAAAGTGTGGTCTTAATGGAGGAAAGGGAGGCAGATAGTCTCTTTAACCCCCCCCCCCCCAACTAATGGAATTAATTAGGCAGGGGACATGAAGCAGGCTGGTGTTGCTGAGTGGAGGGAACAGCCAGATTAGTAGGTTGAAAGAGGTCGCAGAGATGGGGTGTAGGGACAAGAACATGGAGGGATTTGAATGCGAAAACGAGGATCTTGAACCTGATGTGCATGGGGATAGTCTGAGCTTGTTTAGTGTGGAGCTGAGGAATTCAGTAGGCAGAGAATTGGAATAATTGAGCCTGGATGTGATGAAAGGATGAACGAGGGTCTCAACAGGGATACACTTGCAGGGAGTTAGGAGAAGTCAAAGTAGAGGCGGGCAATGTTGCGGACTGAGTCAATGCCAAACAAATGAGAGCCCCAAAGTAGGACAGTTGAGGGTTGAACAGAACTCTGAGGTTCCACACCGGTTCCTTGACGGAGAGTGAGCATCCGTGCAGTCAGAGTTGTGAAATGAGAAGGCGCTGATGGGAGCCGAGCACAAGGACCTTGGTCCTGTTGACATTTAGCTGGAGAAAGTTAGGACAACCGGGATTTCATGTCTGACAGGCAATTGGTCAGAAAAGCAGTGGTCATGCAATTGAGAGTAGAGGCAGAGAGATAGAACGCATCCACATACATGTGAAAATCTAGTGATGAGTTTAGGAGCACTGTATTTTATTCATGTAGAGGGTGGTGAGAATGTGAAACTGAATGCTGGAAATTGTGATTGAAACAATTGTACATAACTGTTTAGATCCTATCTAGATTCAAAAAGCATTAAATTAAAAAATAGAATATTCACCCATCATCACCATTTTTTAATCCTGGCCTTTTTTTCCTTTACAGGCAGCATTCTGAGATGTTTGAACATTACAATTCTTACATCAAATGTCAAATGCAAGGATTACTACTGTATTATCGTCCCTACGTCATCGTATATTATCATCGAGCACAGTTCAGTAGTAATAATAATGATCATTTCACATTGCGAGAATGTCTCAAAGTGCTTCACCGCAAGAGCATGATAACTGTGTGTTTGTAGGCTATGGAGACGGTCAATTTTTCACACAGCAGTGAACCACAAATAGCCATGAAGTGAGTGATCAATGTTATTTGGTGGATTATTAGCCAGGACACCGAGAGAAACTCCCTACTATTTTTGAATAGTGCCATGGGATCTTTAACGTTGACTTGAACAGGCAGATGGGGCCTTGGTTTACCTGTTTATCTGAAGTACGGCACACCCCCAGCATTGCATTGGAGTGTCAGGTTTGATGACATGAGCTCAAAGTCCTGACATGGGGCTTGAACCACAAACTTTTGACTCAGATGCGAGAATGCTACCAACTGAGACATGCTGACGGAAACAGTTCTTATCTGTAATTCAGTTGTTGCACTACACAGTTTCCAGCACTAAGTTTCACATTCTCACGTGCCTCTGCGTGAATCAAGTGTTCTGAGATGGTACCCCACATGAAGGGCACTATATAAGTGGTTATTGTTATTGTCATAAAGTACTCCTAAACTCTCTATTAGATTTCTACATCGCTGCATACGGCCCAAATCGCTCTGTGAAACTATGCAGTCAATGCATTTCTTCTACCAAGGAGACATTACCATAAATAGGAAGCTACTGAAGCAGATTATTAAATACAACTATAATTAACAATAGTAAAATATAAAATATTGTATTAAAGAGGAAATACTTTCAGCAAAGAAGTGAACGCTTCATGTGCCAGGGTTTGCATATGAAGACACATGCAAATATCTTGTACGAGAATGCAAACCATTAGCCGTAAATACTCCTTGCATTTGCAATAGACACTTTGACGTCAGGAATAATAATAATAATCCCTGCATTTGATATAGCGCCTAATCGCGTCTTCGAGACGTCTCAAGCCATTTTAATGGGATCATAAGATGGAGCGACTGTGTGTTCTGTAGGCGAATACGGCAGACAATTTGCACTCAGTAGTGACTCATGAACAGCCATGAAATGAATGACCAATTTTATCTGGGGGATTGTTAGTCAGGACACCGGAAGAAACTCTCTTCTGTCCCTGAGTATGAGGGATCCAAATCCTAAATACTTTAACAGGAATTTATTTTCACTTGAGAAACCTTGATTGGTTTTGAGCTTGAAATCCGTTTAAAATACAATGTTATTTTGACAGGCAATGACTGAGTAACAATCGACAACCGTTGATACCTGATAATCCAAACCATCAATAAACTTGCATTGTTATCGGAAGAACTCCTCAAATAGATGTTTTCACAATTGGAGCAGAACAAGTAAAAAATGATACAGGCCGGTGAATCCGAAGGTTCAGATATTCGATTGCTGTGCTATCTCATTTCCCTTGCACATTGTAAACTGAATCCGTTATTATTTTTGCCAGCAAGGAAATTGGATCCATTAACGCGAAAATCTGTCTTTCATGACTTCCTTGTTGCCGTGACATCTGTTTGGAATGAATGGCAGCAAGAACTAAAGAGGTAGAAAGGTACCCTATTTACTGTACACAAGAAGCTCCCCATTCGATTTATTGATAGAAAACGTTTTCAATTCCTGCTACAAACATAGACACTTTGCAGAGTTTCTTCAATGCCTCATCAGGTTCAGTGAGCAGCTGAGCCAATACAGACTGTAAAGCAGCAGGGTTGAATCCTTAGTGTTGTTATTATTATTAGCCTTCAGTAATTATAATTAACGACTGTTTCTGGGACACTGCTGTGTGCAATTGGCTGCTGTGTCTCAACTCATAAAAATATACAGCGAATTCACTTTACAGTATATTCAGTGAAGCACTTGGAGATGTCTCAAAGATGTGATAAAGCGCTATATCAAATGCAAGGATTATTATTATAATACTCCTAGTCTACACTGGGTTATCTCACCTCAGTCTACACTGAGTTTGCTGTTAGCAATTAGGGCACAACAGATTGGGTTGATTGCCCTGGTCAAGAGAGGGCAAAGCAGCTCGTAATTCCTCCTGAGGAATCATGTGTGTAAATGTGTCCACCAGGCACATGGTTCATTCACCTTATAGGCAAAACTAGAGTAGAGCTCCTGAACATGGAGGGAACTTCAAACTACTTGCAATGATCATTCTCAAAGAGGTCTCAAAGAGCTTCACAGAATACACTGTAAAGTGAACTGACTGTGTATATTTGTGGGTGAAACGTGTCAGCCGGTTGCCTACAGCAGTGTCCTCAAACAGTTATAGAATGAAGAGACCAATTTATTATTGTTTTTTTTTGGAAGGATTATTATCAGGTGTGTGGAGTAAGGAAACTTTCCCAAGGCTTCGCCCCGGCGAACCCAGGACTCTCGCTTACGAGGCGAGTGCTCTAACCACTGAGCTACAGGACTCCACGAGGGTCTTTTTTCTCCGAGCAAATTCTTATGTTTTTACATTCTTACTCTTTCACAAAGATTTCAAAGCTTTCTATCATCTCTTATTTGTGAATGATTAAGGAAGAAAGATTAGGCTTCATTGGTAGGAAAGTGTTTGACTGTACGCTGATATGAGCATATTATGTGACCGGTGTATTAACTGCAATAATGGTCATTGTTTAGGAGTTTTGCATTGCAGATACAACTTATCAATACAGCAATTTGCATGATTTAGGTTGTAAAATCGGTGGTTGTGGTCAATGGCTCAGAAAGAACAGGATAAAATTGGCAATCAACAGAAGTGAGACATCTTTACCACTCAACAAGGAAACAGAGATGTAAATCACTCCCACATTTAAATTTTAAATTCTGCATGTATTTGCATATAGAATGGGCTCTGAATCTATTAATAGTAATATTTCTTACATTTGAATATAGCACCTTTCACTTCGGGAGGACGTCTTAACACGTTTCACATTGTATATTGAAAAACAGGGTGATTGTATGTTATGTGAGTGAGTGTGGCAACCAATTTGTCATCAGCAATGTCTCAAAAATAGCCAGGAGGTAAATGAATAATTTTATTTGGGGGCATGACACCGGGAGAAACTCCCTTCTCTTTTCGAGTAGTGCCACTGGATATTTGACATCCTCCTAAACAGGCGCTGAGACCTCGGGTTTAAAGTGCCATCTGAAGGACGACACCTCCAACAATCCAGAGCTCCCCCAGCATTGCATTTGAGTGTTAGCCGAGACCAGGGGTTGATTGCCGCTTAGAGACCCTCTCACACATGATCAAAAAGACAAGAAGAAGAAGCAATAGAAATGTTTTATTTAGTTGTAACGCAGTGCTTTCACTCCTTCCTCTTGACTTTTTGACACTGTAGCTCAGTGGTTAGAGCACTCGCTTTGCAAGTGAGAGACCTGGGTTCAATTCCCGGCAGAGGGCGAAACCTTGGGCAAGTTTCCTTACTCCACACAGAGCCTAATAATAATCCCTCCAAAACCAAAAACAATAATAAATTGGTCATTTTCAATCTACGACTGTTTGTGGGACATTGCTGTGCGCAATTGGCTGCCGCGTTCGCCAACAAATATACAGTCAATTCACTTTACAGTGTGTTCTGTGAAGCGCTTTGGGACGTCCTCCCGACGTGAAAAGCGCTATATCAAATGTGAGGATTATTATTATTATTATATTATTATGTCAGCACCTTGGGACGTCTTCCCGACTTGAAAGGCGGTATACAAACGTAATTTTGTTGTTGTTGATGTGTGAGAAGGCTTCCTAGTTATTTAGACCAATTGAAAACAAAGCCAGACACATCTCGAAATAAAAACATTTATGTTTAAACTCGGGTAAATATCGCGCCTTCCTTGTTTTTAATTGAATGTTCACGAGAAGGACAGCTCGCTCCGATATTTAGATTTTTTAATCTTTTTAAATTTAATTTCCAATCGTTGCTGTTAGTTCTTTCCTTTAACATTGTGGATAATCCCCGTTGCTCTCGTCTGCACTCACGCGCCATCCTCCATTGTCCTGGTGACCAGATGCAGTGCTCAAGGTGCTGTCTAACCAGATCAGAAAAAATAATGATAATAATTGGGTCACTTCAATCCACGACTGTTGGTGGGACTCTGCCGTGAGTAATCGGCTGTCGCGTTTCGCCCACAAATATACGGCCAATTCACTTTACAGTATATCCTGTGAAGGGCTTTGGGACATCTCGAAGATGTGATGAGGCGCTGTGTCAAATGCGAGGACTATTATTATTACTGAGAATGACTCTGGGGGCTCAAAACTCGGGTGATTTGGCTAAGTATAAATTGCTTAGCCTCCCTGCGTGTCGGGCTCCCCAACTCCTCGCTCCACAGGCATGAGTGTGACGCTGTCGTTGTCTGCGGCCGCGACAGTAGAATAATACAACAGTGTTGATCACAATAAGCAATAATACGAATTTGTCTTTTTTTTATATTACTCTAATAAACCGCCGTACGAAATGCCAGAGTTACATTATTGTTATAACAACAATAATAATTAAAAAAAACCTGGACACAGAGTGGACTGAAGCACTTTAATGCTGATTTCCTGTTGGATGAGGAAAAAAAAATTGCCTGAAAGACCACTTTGGTCCCAAATCAGCTGCTGTGAGGAGCGCGCGTGACGTCACGCCCAAGCCCCGCCTCCTCCCCCCGCTGGCTCCTCCCCCGCCCCGCCCCGCCCGCCACCCGCTCGGGAGATTGACAGCTTCAGCGACCAATTAGCCGCGGGCGGATACCCCACGCCGACCAATCAGGGCCAGCGAGCGTGAGGGGCGGGCGGTGGACGAGGCTGCGCGGCTCCGGGAGGGGGAGGGGTTGCATTTGTAACGTTAATCGGTTGCATTCGTTTTTTCAAATGTAACTATTCCGACAGTAAGTCAACGGTTTTCAGTTGAGGTGGAGCGGGAAATAACGGCCGGGATTGAAGGTGGCGGAGGGGAGAGTGAGAGAGGGGGAGGGATCGGCTGCGGCTCACGTGACCGCGGCGCAGCCAACACGTCGCGCGCCGGTTCCCGCCAAATGTTTGAGAGAGACACACACACACACACAGAGCGCGAGCGGCAACTGTGGAGGGAGTCCGGCACTGAGGGGAGAGTGTGTACACAAGGAGAGAGAGGGAGGGAGGGAGAGAGAGAGAGAGCTCGGCCCCAGGACCGAGGGGGAGAGGGACAGACCGGGTCTGAGGGAGGAGGAAGGGGGAGAGAGAGAAAAACACACCGGGACTGAGGGGGGAGATCGAGAACCCCGCACTGAGGAAGGGTAGGCCCCGACCCTGAGGGGGTGGGGGGGAGAGTGAGTGGGGAGGGAGAGAGCCCCTGAATAGGGGGGGGAGAGAGCCCCTGAATAGGGGGGGAAGAGAAGTGTGAGCGGGGGGGGGAAGAGAACCCCCAAATTGTGGTGGGGGGGGAAGAGTAGGCCCCGGACCTGAAGGACCCCCGACCCCGACGGTGGGGAGGGGGAGAGAGGGCGCGAAGAGCCGCCCGGTAGCCTCAGCGGAGACTCGCTCAGCCGGAGCCGGGGAGGAGGTGAGTGAGGTGAGGTGCGGTGCAGCCCGAGCCCGGGCCGGTACAGTGAGGGAGGGCCGAGCGGCGCAGGCCTCACCCGCCCGGGCGGCCGCTCAGTGGAGGGAAGAATATCGGCGGGTATTTTTATTCCGGGGGGCAACTTCCCCTCCTCCCCTCCCTCCCGCCCGCCCCCCGGCCTCTGCCTCTCCCTCTCTCTCTCTCCGGAAGGCGGGAGGCAGAGCCCAGCCTCGGGGGGTGTGTGTGTGTGTGTGGGGGGAGACTACCTGTGGGGGAGAGCGTCTCTTCTGATAGTTTTCACTAACTTTGCAGCCCTCTCCGCTCCGGGAGGTTTGTCTGACGGCCCCGGGGTTACCGTGACTGGATTCCCGCTGGAAGCCGCGGCCGGGAGTCCAGTCACTTTCTCGCTGAAAAAGTTTTGTCGTTTTTTTTTGTGTTGGGGTGGGGGAAATAAGGATTCTTGAACTTTTTTTTTAATTTGAATTTTTTTTTCGGTTCTCCCCACCACCACCTCCACCTCCTCCCCCCCCCACACTCCCGCCTCGCTCGTGGCTGACGTTGTCGCCCACTCCTCCCGTGGATTTCTGTGCTGCTTTTGTTTTTGTGGTTTCGGTCTGGTCAACACACCCGCCAGAAGGTATTTCTCTTCCACCCCCCACCCCCCCCCCCCCCCCCCAACACACACACACATCCTGTGATCGATCAGTCCCTTTTCTCGGTATCTCAAGTGTTTTTGTTATCAGCTTTATTCCCCCACCACCACCACCTCTTTCTCGCCCCCACACACCCCCATCCTCCTTCATCCTCCCTCCCCCCCCTCCCCCGTCCTCCTTCATCCTCCCCCCCCATCCTCCTTCATCCTCCCTCACCCCCCCATCCTCCTCCCTCAGCCCCCCCCCCCCATCCTCCTTCATCCTCCCTCACCCCCCACCACCATCTTCCTAATTGTCTCAGGTCATTGGAGAATTTCCCTTTTATGTGACACTGAAGCAAGGATTTGGCTTTAAACTGGTTGATTGAATGGTGCTTTACGGTCAGGTTTCTTCACAGACTGGAAGGATCGGCAGTGGATAAAAATGCTTTTCCCCATCGCATTGCTCTCGAGCGACGAGCATTTTTTTGTATCTGGAGGGAATCATTTAAGATGGCATTTATGCCACAAGACGCTATCGTCAGAGCTCTGTTTCACAATAGTACAAATTCAGGAATTCGCACCTTTGTCAGGTGGAATTGGCAATGATGGAGATGTGACTGATAATAATAATAATCCTTGCATGTGATGCAGCGCTTTTCACGTCTTCTCGACGTCTCAAAGCGCTTCACAGAATATACTGTAAAGTGAATTGACTGTATTTGTGGGCGAAATGCGGCAGCCAATTGCACACAGCAGCGTCCCACAAACAGTCGTGGATTGAAGTGACCAATTTCTTATTGTTTTGTTTTCTTGAGGGATTATTATCAGGCGTGTGGTGTTAGGAAACTTGCCCAAGGTTTCGCCCGGCTGGGAATCGAACCCAGGCCTCTCGCTTGCAAAGCGGTTATTGCAAGCGAGAGGTTATTAATATTTTCGTTTACTTTTTGGTTGTCGCTATCTCATATAAACTCAGGCAATGTCTATAGCTAAATTGTGGGAGGAATCTGAGATTGTTTGTCTCTGTTACTTTCTTCTCTAACCCCCCCCATCCTTACCCGCAAGGTTCATTGAATAATAATCCTTGCAAAATGCAAAATACTGCAGTGCTGGAAATCTGAAACAAAAATAGAAGTCCCTGAGAATATTCAGCAGGTCAGGCAGCATCTATGGAGAAAGGAAAGCGAGTCAGCGTTTTGGGTCCATGACCCTTCGTTAGAACTGGGGCTGAGTTCTTCGAAACGTCTCAATGCGCTTCACAGAATGTATTGTAAAGTGGATTGACTGTATATTTTGTGGGTAAAACGTGACAACCAACTGCAGTGTCCCACAAACAGTCGTGGATTAAAGTGACCAATTTTTTTTGAAGGGATTAATAGCCCCGGAAAAGCGATCTGCCAATCGATTAACAACCGGGTTCCTATTTACTGCTAGGTAATCTTTTGTGGAGTAAGAAAACTTGCCCAACATTCTGCCCTGCTGGGAATCGAACCCAGGTCTCTCGCTTGCGAGGCGAGTGCCTCTAACCACAGGAATCGTGGCATGATAGAGGCAAGGCACCAGTTAAGATTGGAGCAGATAAACTAATTTAAACGTATACTGATTTCAAATGTAGTTGCGAGGACAGTGAACTTGTGACAAACATCTTTCAGAATAGAATCATAGAATATTTCGGCACAGAAGGAGGCCATTCGTACCTGTGCCGGCTCTTTGGAAGAGCTACCCAATCAGTCCTACTCCCCCACTCTTTCCCCATATCCTTGCAAGTTTTTCCTCTTCAAGTAACTATCAAATTCCTTTTTGAAAGTTGTTGTTGAATCTGTTTCCACCACCCTTTCAGACAGTGAATTCCAGACTTAACAACTTTCTGTGTATCAGGTGTTTTTACACACCTGTATAAACTGAAACGGGGGTAAAACTAATGGATATGATGGAAGCCGTCCTCCTAGGCTCCCCTCCTCCAGCTCTTAAGTTCTTCAACCTCCTTGGTCTCTCTGCACAACTTTGGCATCCTGTTCCATCCCAAGCTTTCTCCCTCACTTCCAGTCAGCTATCCTTCAGCCCTGCCATAGAATCATGCCTGCCTTTGCCCATTGGCGGTGATTAATGTATTCATCACATCCTGCTTAAATTTTTCAAATACACATCTTGCTGGTCTCCCAAATCACTCAGCAAGCCCATTACCATGAGTCCTCACCGGTTTCCACTGGATCCCAGTAGATTGATTTAATGGTCTTTAACCACATCTACAAGTTGATCTGCACCTGACATCTCTTCAAACTCCTCCTACCCAACTCGTCCAGCTGCACGCTCCGCAAAACTAACTTGCTGAGCATTCCTTGCCCTCTTCATACCGCCAGATGGTGGCCAAGTCTTCGGTTCCTATGCCCCTAATCTCTAACTCTGATCTCTAACTCCCTCTCTATCTACCATTCTGTCTTGTATTTCAATGTGCTTATGTCCCTCTCCTTTGCTTGGTGTCCAACCCCATGCTTATGAAGTGCTCATGAGCACTAAATAAAACGTTGTAACAAATAATGCTGGACTCCTTATATATTCATGTGCAAAAGGATATAAAATCTTTTAAAATGGGAGTTTGGGAAAAGATTAGGGATTATTTAGGAAAAGGATTAAGGCATTATTTTTATGGAAATGCTGGTGCAAAACTGGGGAGGGCATAAATTTTCCAATCGATCAGAGATGGATTTGTAAAGTCCTGAGGATTATCGGCATAGTGATATACCCATTTCAGTTATGAGGTAGATAAGTAGGTACTTCCCCATAGTGAGGAAATTTTTTTGAAGTATTCCCAGGACTGCTGTTTGTTATTATTCTGAACTGAGATTGGCAGTGGTATGATCATCTGTTAGCTGGTGTTTGCTTCTGGTATAGAGAGGCAGGTGATAGAACTGAAGTGGCCCAAATGTTTGGATATAATTTTTTTCAAACTATTACTTCTATATGGAGAATAATTGTACAGTGCTGCTAGAATTAGTCTGAACTGCTCCTCATCTGATTGGTTGTCATGTTGAAACTCCCTTAATTGTGGCGAATGAATAATTGAAGTCAAATTATATGTAAGACTTTGGATAGGATAAAAATGAGCATGAAGTTGTTGTATCACATTATAAATTAAATGTATTGGCCTGTATTTGCTTAAGAGTGTGTTTTGTAGTGAGTCACAGGAGTGGATGAGGTTCAACTCCATAATACTTCCACAATGTACGTTTGGCCAATAAGTGCAATGCATTGGTGTTATGTGATTTAGCTAAGTATAAAATGTTACATTTCCCAGATAGTTTGTGGTAAATTGATTGCCCCAGGTAACATTTATTTCCCCACTGTCTGCTGTTTTTCTTTGTTGGCACTACATGTTCTAATCCAAACTTTCTACATGTATGTGATAATGCCCAATGCTGTCTGCCGTCCCTGAACTCCAGGATCATTGTTCCGCACCTGTTAAGGCATCAAATTCTGGATGAGGCATAACTTTCTCTTACTCAACATCGACTACTTCCTTCCACCTCTGTCAGGTGAAATTCTTATTTCTGAAATTCTTATCTGTGACTTTGTCACTTCCAGAGTCAACTTATTCAATTCTCTGCTTGCTGGCCTCCCCAGGTATATCATCCTTAAAAGTCCAGACAGTATGGAATTCCATAGCGCATTCTGGGGTCCCCAAGTCTTGGCTTTTGCCTACATGCACCTAATACTTTCGAATTGGGTAACAGGTTTGCATTCCATTCAAATATTCTCTCTGGAATTTCCACGTGTAGGCGCGTGGAATTCGCAGTTTAGTTTAGAAACTCATGAGCATGGTGATTGGTTTCCGCATGACCCACCAAAAAAGTACACCTGGCGAGTATACCTTTAGCCACATTAGGCTTCCCTCTGGAACTGCCTCCTGAAATCTGCCTTGCCTTTTTCCTCATTTTTCAAATGTCTCAAGATCCAGCTCTTTAATTGCGCTTTTGGGCACATTTTCCTCTCTTCCTTCCCCCCATCCCCCCCCGCATCCGCGTCCACACAATTTTTGGAAAACTCTTTGGCAGTGTTCTCCCAGAGTATAAATGTAAATTTTTGTAATCTTCCCTATATACCCTCATAATAATCCTTGCATTTGATATAGCGCTTTTCACGGGTTCTAGACGTCTCAAAGCACTTCACAGAATATTCTGTAAAGTGAATCGACTGTATATTTGTGGGCGAAATGCAGCAGCTAATTGCACACAGCAATGTCCCACAAACAGTCGTGGATTGAAAATGACCAATTTATTATTATGATTTTTTTTGGCGGGATTATTATTAGGTGTGTGGAGTAAGGAAACTTGCCCAAGGTTTCGCCTGGAATTGAACCCAGGTGTCTCACTTGCAAGGTGAGTACTCTAACCACTGAGCTACAGGACTCATCCCACTCTACCTTTGTGGCCTTCTGCCTACCTGCCCCGTCTGCTTGCCAACTCTGAATATGCTGCACGTTCCTTGTCACCTCCATGCCACCATCAGTGGTTGAGCATTTAGTATTAGCATTAGTTTATGGAAATCCCAGTCTTAAATTCAGTAGGTTTTCATGGTGCTATGTTATAGAAGAAACCAACATTTTAGGTTGGTCTCTTGTACATTGGAAAAACCAAACGCAGATTGGGTGACCGTTTTGCCGAACACCTCAGTTCTGTCCGCAAGCACAGCCCTGAGCTTCCGGTTTTCTGCCACTTCAACTCTCCCTCCCACTCACATTCTGACCTCTCCACCCATGGTCTCCTAAGCCGTTCCAATGAACCACAGCGCATATTCGAGGAATAGCACCTCATCTATCTGCTAAGGATCTTGCGGCCCTCTGCCTTCAACAACAACAACAAGATTCCATTTATAAAGCGCCTTTCACGTCAGGAGGACGTCCCAAGGCGCTGCACAGTTGGGTCAAATATTGATTTAAATAATTTCTGACCATAACTGCTCACCTTCTCCCTCCCCCTCTTCTGTGAACATTACCCCCTCTGGCCTCAATATTGAATTAAATAATTTCATACAATAACAGCTCATCACCCCCCTCCCCTTCTCTCTGACCATTACTACATCAGCTGGGTCTCAGATACACCTTTTCTTTCTCTGGTCTGCCTGTTTTGTTGCAACCCCCCCCCGCTTGTTTTGCATCAGTAACACCTCTATAACCCATCATCCCTTGTTCTCTACCCCATTTTCTCCTTTGTCTTCCTTGTCCTGCCTTCCCCATCTCTGTTAGCACTTAAAAGCCTCTCCCTCCCAACAGGCCCCAGTTATGATGAAGGATTTGTGGATTCGAAATGTTGACTCGTTTTCATTTCTCCATAAGTGCTGCCTGACCTGCTGAGTACCCAGCGACTTCTGTTTTTGTTCCAACATTTTAAGGTTGGCTTTCTTTTAGTCCACAAGTATATAGAAAATTCTTAAATTGATTCTTTGGAAGGCAGCTCTGTTTTTATTTGGAAGCCAATTTGTGGCTTTTGCTAACTAAGACTGAATTCAAGGTACTTTGCTGAAGCCGGAAAAAAATTGGACTTTTCTTAGTTTTGTTCCTTGATTCTTAAATCTTGTCTGCTTGTTGCTTTCCTTGAACTGTGTTTTTACGTTGGAACAGAATGCACTCGTGCCTCACCATTGCAGCATTGTGCTGTGTCTTTGTTCTGGCCGGGATAAAACATTTCATAGTTAAGAACTATTGCTTGGTATCAGAAGATCCTTGTTATCAGTATTCTTGTGATTCATCTCTGCCACTCCTCATAAAATATTCCTCTTCCGGGGCGAGTCTTTGAAAATTTGCCTTTCACACTTTTAATTCGTTTTGAAAAAGGAGTAATGGAGAACCTCCCAGTCTGAAGACCTGTTGCAGAGTTCTGAATTTAACGTCAGTGAGAATTGTAAAAACTTGATTAAACATTTTGTTGAAACTTATTTTGTGGGGATGGGCTGGACTTTGCTTTATAAAAAGCAAAACTGCTGCTTTTTAAAAAAAAAAGTTCAAATTCTCTCTCAAATACTTCAATAGTGGAAGCCTGAATATGAGCAACAGGCAGATTTTTTTAAAATGTAGTTTTCCATTTATAACTGAGTCTTGTGGCAGTTTACCATTTTAGGTTTGTAAAGCTGATTGCACCAAATGTGTTAGATGTTAGAGTGTTATTTATGAGCAAACACAAGCAATGGTTGCTACACAAGGTTCATTGGTTGTTTTGTGTTAAAGTTGAGTTATCCCTTCCTTTTTTCCCAGCAGGATAGCTTTTTTCACCCGATCAGTTGAGAAAGCAAAATATCATGCACGCTTGAAGATTAGGAATTTTAAAAAAAGCTGTAATTAAATGAGCTCAATCATTCTAAAATGGAAACTGGTCCAGCCAAAAACAGTGCTTGGTCACATTTTTCATCACATTCGAACATTAGCTGCACTGTAAAAGCAAATCATTCATTCTGGATAGTGTCAAATACCTGAGAGCAGATAGCACACTGGTTGACTGCAGAGAGAATTTGAGCAAGTCTCTTTTCCTGCTGCCACAAAAATATGCTTTACTTCACAGCTCTTTCCTCAGCAAACTCCAGATCATCCAGAACTCCGCAGCCTACATTTTCTCCCACAAAAGAATCTGCAACCCCTTTACCCCAGTTCTCGCTTAATATTAAGATCCTAGTCCATGCCTTTAAATGTCTCTGATCTTGCCTCTACTGTCTTTTCAACTATGCCTTTGGCCTTCAGGTTTGAGACATTTTCTTATGTGAAAGGCACTGGAAGTTGTTGCAACCACCAAAAAAACAATAATTTTATCCTTTTTAGAACCTTTGTCCTGAAAATGGTATTTAATAGTACAACTCATTAATTGTTAAATAACTTTAGCCTTCAATATCCATTTCTAGAAACACATTAGGTATATGCTTGCTGCTTGGCTGCACATGTTGTCGTCATTTTCTTTCAGTTTGTGCCATTCAGACTGATGTCTCATTACATCTAAGTAGTTTATTTAAATTCTTCATTTAGTGACTGAATGGATGAAGTAAGTGCTGCGATAGCCAAACAAGACAGAATGTGCTCGAAGATACTTGAATTCATTTTGAAAGAGGATAGTTGCAAGCATTTCATATTTTTTGTTTTGAGTGTAATAAATATACATTATATTCGATTATTTTCCTAAAAAAAGAACTTTGCTTTATGTAAACCAACTTTTTACTCTTCTTTAGTTATGGAGGAGTGCAAGTTAAAGACTGTTGCTTCGGCAAAGAAACTAGTCCAAGGTAAGCACTGTTATACATTACATGATGCTGTTCCAAGGGAATACAACAAAATTATATTTATAGAGTGCCTTTCACGTCAAGAGGACGTCATAAGGTGCTGGACAGTCAGGGGTCAGGACCCGGGCATGGGGGAGGAGTGGGGTAGGGGTGAAGGGAGGCAGAGAAGTGGGAGGGCACGATTGAAGAGGAGTGGTCTTGAGACTGGCCTTGAAGGAGGCAAGGGAGGAAGTGGGGCGAAGTGACTGTGGGATGGAGGGGCAGAGAGACTGAAACCTCGGCCACAGTTGGTAGGGCGGGAGACATGGAGCAGGCCGGAGCCCACTGAACGAAGGGAGCGGGCAGATTGGTAGGAGGTAGGAGGGGGCAAGGCCATGGATGGCCTTGAGAGTGAGGACGAGGATCTTGAATGTGATCCTCTGCGGGATGGGGAGCCAGTGGAGTCGGGCGAGGGTGGGAGTGATGGGGTCACGGAGCGTGGTTTGCGAGAGTACACGAGCTGCAGTGTTTTGGATGATCTGCAGCTTGCGAAGGGAAGAGTTGGGAAGGCCGATGTGGAGGGAATTTCCTTTATCGAGCCTTGATGTGACGAATGCGTGGGTGAGGCAGTGGTGGAGTAGGCGGTGCCAGTCATGGTGCGGATGTGGGGGAGAAAGGACAGTTCAGGGTCAAATAAGACACCCAGGTTCCTGACTGGCTTAATGAGGTTGAGTATGCAGCCGTGGATGCTGCGGCTGCTAGCGCCTGAGGTGCGGAGGCGCTGGCGCGAGCCAATCGGGGGCCTCAGTTTCGCTGTCGTTCAGCTGGAGAAAGTTGTTCGTACAAGACTGTAGGAATAGAAAATAATATAGCTTACCGTATTGTACTGCCTTAAATGGGAAAAAGATTACACGGGCGGTATATTTGTTAAAAATATTCTTGATTATAGAAGAAAATGTTATAATTATCTCAGCTACAGTGCGAAATAGTCATGTTTCAAGTCACTTCAGAAAAGGGTAAGCAGGTCGTTGGTGGGTGTAAAAATGTTCTTAATATTGCCTTTAGAGTCTTTTTCTAAATCAGACGTAGGTATAGAATTACTGTTTATTCTTTATTACAGCTCGATTACCATTTAAACGCCTCAACCCTGTACCAAAGCCACAAAATGAGACTACTGATGCTAAGCGAGCAAAATTGTCCCCCACTTCACCTGCACAACTGACTGCAGTCAAGCTGGTAGCCTCTGTAGATGATGTTGAAAATGACTGCGAAGTAGACGTGGAAGATGAATCCAGAAAATCTTCACCAGAAGGGAGTTTGGTGTCCTCAAAACTTGTTATGGGGAAAGGACCTCTTGATAATTATGTGTGCTCTGTGCAGAAGAGCAAGTCTGCAGTTAAAATGGACAACAATGAGTGTAAAATTACAATTGACTTAACAGAAGAATCTAGCAATGGTGTCTCGGACAGTGCAGTTGACCTAGATTTGAAAACGACTTCTGCTAAAGGTCTGAACACAAAGAAAAAAATTTACTTAGAAAATAAATGTAACTGGTTGGTTAGTGTGAAGACTGATGTAACTGAAGGAGCAAGCTCTTCTGAATTTGTAAATCACCAAAGTTCATCAATTGAGATGACCAGCAGGCATGCTAAAGCCAAGCCAGAACAAGACCATGAGGATATTTTAAAGGGCAGAGTACCAGTAGTGGTGTTAAAAGATATAATGGCAGACAAATCCTACTGGTCTGGTAGTCCAGAGAAATGCATTGAAAAAGAACAAACGTCCTTTACTGAAAGTGAAAGCAGTGACTCCCCCGTCAGTTCTCTATCAAGTTCTATTTCAGCATCGGAGAGCTCACCAGAAGTGAAGTCTCCAGAAGTGACGTCTCCAGAAGATGAGAAGTGTTCGGACTCTCCTACTTCCACTACTCCTAGACGCAAGGTCAATGTTAAACATGTTTTTATTTTCACACCACTGAAATTTTCATGGGGAGGGAATACTGCAGAGAATCTAAGTCAGACTTGGATTGTACACCTGATTGTTAAAATGCTTTTGGTTTATGTTGTAAGAGAACCGTTGTCAAAGGATATCTAGCATAAAATGTTATTTGACTGGTAATTTTGCAGTCTATGTAGAGTCTGGTTGCTCAGGCAAATTTATCACAGTGCTTAGTAGCATTGTGTATTGTGTATCTCAATTTGCAGAAGCATCAATCAATTTGATTTCCACTTTGCTTGAATATTACATCATTTGCTACCCTTTTCACCGTGAAAATTTTGTATTGTTAAGTGTTAGGAAATTTGGTCTTCAGTTTCTTGCATGATCCTTTGCATAAAATTCAAAACATTCTTTTTTTATACATATTCTTTCAATGGATGTGAAGAATCTTAAGTTTCATTCTGGTAGAACCATCGAAATTTACAAAGAAGAGCATTCAGTCTATCATATTTGCGTTGGCTGTTTTTAAAAACCTTTCAGTCCCATTTACCTGTCCTTTCCCCATACCCCTGTAGTTTTCTTTTTTTAAGGTTTTTATCTTATTCCCTTTTGGATATGGATTATACCTCAACTTCTGCTCCCAGCAGAGTATTACATATCCTAACCACTCTGCATGAAAACGATTATCTTAACCTCCTCGTTTGCTAACTATCTCAAATTGATGCTTTCTAGTCACTGAATCACTGACTAATGGAAATAATTTCTCCCTATTGACTCTCGCCCAAACCACTCATAATTTTAGAGACTTCTATCAGTCTTCTTTGTTCCAATGAAAAATATCCCAGTACCTCTGGTCTCTTCTTGGTGGCCCTTATGGTGTTGATGTTTAACTTTCTTCAATTGAATGTTAGTGAGACAATTTCTCCTACTTGGCTCCCATCAACACCTTCTCACCACAGCATCAAAGTATTTGGATGCATACTGCACCTCATGATTCTGGACAGAATCTCGGGGTATAGTTTGACTCAACTGTTCTTTAAACCTTACACATGCACACTGACCCCACCTCTGTAATGTTATCTGCCTCCATCACTGCCTCTCCCCTCGGGAGGCCTGAATCCATGTACATATCACATACAGGCTAGATTATGCCATCTCTGCTTACTGTACTACTCACTTGTTCCCTTCGCAGGTTGCAGACTATCCAGAACTCTGCACCGCATGACTTTTCCCACACTAGGCTCTGCAAGTCTGTTATCCCCATCCTCACCTGGATTGTGCCATCGCACATTGGATTGTGTTCGAGATCCTCATCCTAACCTTTAAAAACCTCCATGGATTCGATTTCCTCTCCCTCTGAAACCTCCTAAAGCCCTAGCAACCGCTCCTCCGCTCAGTAGGCACCAGCTGCTTCACATTCCTCCTGCACCATCAGCCATCCAGCTTTGAGTGTATCTGCCCCCACTCTCTGGAATTCCATCCCGGAGTCCCTTTGGCTTGGTCCTTCTCTTCAAGATCTGCCTCAAGATTTTCATCTTTGTGCTTTTGGCCATCTTTCTCCCCCCTCCCCAATTCAGATTTAAACCATGGACTGTTCAGGGTCTTGGGACATCCTCCAGACGTGAATGGCGCTGTACAAATGTGAATTTGCGTTGTATCAGTGGCGGGAAAGCTTTCAGACATCCTATCCTTGCTCAGCTCCACTGCCTCCCCCAGAGACTCTTATCTGCTCCACCATCCATGGGTGAGCATTTGGACATTCTCTCCACCCCCCCCCCCCACCTTGCTCTGGAACTCCAACCAGGATTCCCTCTGACTTGGCCCTCCCCGCTTTTAAAGCCCATTGCTTCAAGACCTGCATCTTTGAGTCTTCAATCATCTTCCCCATCCTCAGCTCGGGTTACTTGTTGGTTCTGAAATGCTTTAAACATCCTTCCAACATGAACGGTCTATATCAACAATTTTATGTCACAGTTGGTTCATTTTGTGGATGAATTGTGTTGGCGGGAGCTTCCCTCATTTTAAAACCCTTCAAGACCTTCCTCTTCGACCGTGCCTTCGGTCACCCTCCCTCCATCCCACCCCCCGCTCTCTTCCCTCCCTGATCTCGGGTCCGAAACGCTGATTGGCCTTGGAACCTCCTCCTGGTGTGAATGCGTTATACAAATGTAATTTTGTTTTTGTTAAAAAAAAAAATTTTCATGTGAGCAAAGGATACTGGTTTGGGGTTCTGAGTTTCTAGTTTGAACAAAATAATTTACATTGGCAGTCTTTCATTCTTAGAATGCAGCATTTACATAGATACTTGAGGAATTTATATGCATTACTTGCAAAATTATCACAGTAACTGTCTAAACAGTAATACAGGATTAACTTTGTGGCAACATACACTCATTTAGCTAACTTGATAGCATTGTATTGCTTTGTAACTGCCTTAAATGCAACAGCTTACTCTAATAGGCTGGGTTTACAAAATTAATTGTGCATATACAAAGGAATCACAGGACAGACAATATTTTAGTGTTGGAAGAGACTAAGCCTAATCAAAAAGACTAATGGGAGTCTAGAACATGGAGAGAATGAACAGTAATTTTTACATAGGGAGTAAAAATAAATGTAGAGTAAAGTAGCATACAGCAGAAAAACTGAAGTTTTTATACTAATTGTGCTACAGTAAATGTACTCTGCTGTTATGTCGAGGAGTATTTTGGGTTTGAATTACTCCCAATACAATTAGAAAATATTAATAGTATATATTAATTGATCATTGCTCAAATATCAAGTGTTGAGGATTATGGAGCTCTACTCTTGAGGATCCCTTCACCTAGGCCACTCCATTGATGTCACTATCCAAGCTCCCTGAGCATTTGGAGCAGTTCCATTTACATTGGGGGTTTGGGCGGGTAGTGGGGAGGGTGGGTTTAAGAGGAGGCAATGCTACGGAAGTTAAATGAGAATAAACTGTGTACATTTGGGGATCCATGCAGATTCAGTTAATGACATCACTAGAGCTGCCTCCATGAGCAGAAATGCTAGAGTTCATTAAAATATTTTCAGATTGTTCTTGCAGGAGTAATTAATAGTAATAATAATCCTTGCATTTGATATGCGCTTAATTACCTCTTTGAGACATCTCAAAAGTGCTTCACAGTATACTATACTGTAAAGCGAATTGACTATTTTGTGGGTGAAATGCGACAGCCAATTGTGCATAGGTTTAAGCAAAAAGTACTAACTTTTTATTTTGCCTTCTAACTTCTTTGCCTGCTGTCTTAATGCATTTTTTTCTCTTTTGAAAGGCTTTCTTTCTCAACATTTTTAGCTTGCGTTTTACTTAAAGAAATGTGCTGCCCTAAAATCAAGACCAGTCCTGAGCTGTCAATTCCGCTGTTCTCGTTCCCCTTCCACTCCTAACCCCCCCCCCCCACATACACACATTTATTTCAAATACTTGTTACGAGAAAGGGAATTTATAAGCAAGAGCCCTACGTCTGTGGGAAGCCACATTTTGTTTTGCCATTTTCCTCTGCCTTAATCTGCTTGCAAAACTCCTGACATTAAGTGAAGAGGGGAGTATGCCATTATTTGTTCATCAATCCTTCTACCCCTTTTCAATGCAGCATCCATTTTGTATTTGTAACAAAATGGCAGCTGTATTAAGGTGTTTCTTAGCACAGGGAATTTGTTGCATAGCATTATAGAACCAATATAGTGTCAAAGACGTCGAACCACGCACCTCATTATTCCATGGGGTACGGTATTCAACTTGTGGTATGACAATTGTTTCTTATGACATTACATACTTTGAATACAATTATTGTGTAAATGCAATCCACTACAAGATGCTCTCATAGTCAGTTTATTGTTGTTTCAAATGTGTTGAGATACAAAATTGAGAAAAAAATTGCACTGCAGGCAATGCAAATAAAAATTGGCTTGGTCTTGAGATACCTACAATCTCTTCTACTTCTCTGCTCTCTCCCCCACCACCCCACCCACCCCAAAATAAAATATAGTAAATAACTACTTTGGAAAAAAAACTATTAACTGTGCAGCTCTGGGGGCAGAAAACTTGTCTTTATTAATTCAAGCATAGGTGGCGCTATACTTTGCCACATGCTGCTATGGAGTTTAAGTTGGAAGACTTGATTGAATGCTGGTGATCAGAACTTATACTAAACACGAATTTGATGGTTTGGGAATTCGAGGGGAAAAATAAATGATAAACATTTCTCCAGTATTGCCCTTGTAAAAATGACAAAACAAAATGGTCCTTTGGGACGTGTGAGGTTGATTTTTAAAAGAAATTAAACCCATTTTGCGTTCCTTTTTTTTAAAGGATTACATTCAGTGAACTTGTTCATGCAGGATTGAAAAATACAGGCACTACATTGAGCCCCAGCACACAGATGCTGCAGTTCTATAATGAACAAGTACAAAATCTCATGTTTCCCATTATATCTGAATTTTTTAATGGTCTGAACTTGTTACGTAACAACTTTTAAAATGTGGAGGAATTTATTGAGCGAAAGTTCAGCAGCTCTGCGTTTTTCTCCTTAGGGTGTTGCATTTAAATGTGGCATATTCAAAAGGAGTATTTAAAAAGCTTTGGACAAGCAGTAGAAGAGGGTACATGGAAAGCATACTGAATTAGGTTGGACAGCTCTGAAGGAGCAGACACTAATATCGAAAAATGGTCTGAATAGCCTTCTACTCTCGAACCGTCTATATATGGTTCTGTATTCAGGATCATTATATTTTCTTCCAATATACCCTCTTAAGTGTAAATTCTCTTGTGAGATATATATATATATATGTATAATACACACACACATACATACGTAGTTGCTTGGGGCTGGAAACTTTAGATTCTGGGTACCTGTAGGTAACCATTTCATGATGTCTGGAGCCCAAAATTGTAGTTGGTTCTCAACCCAAAGGCCTAAATCGTATGCATTTGATTCTGTAGATACAAAAGTATTGAAATATGGTAACGAGTGGTGTTGGTGCCTCATTGGGGAATTGGTTTCAATGCAGAGGGACCCAAATAAGTCCTCCATATCAACCTGATCAGGAAGAGCTTTTCTTTGTATCTATTTTCTGTTCCAAGCTAGCAATGTACAAGTCATGTACACTTGTACAGAATTCAATTTTCCCATCCAAAACAAACCCAAAATGAACATGCCAATCTAAAAGGAGTTTACAGATCAGAGAAACACGAGTAGGTTATTCAGCCCCTCGAGCCTGTTCCACCATTTTATAACATCATGGCTGATCTGTACCTCAAGTCCAGTTACTCATCCTTGGCCCACATCCCTTAAAACCCTGACCTAACAAATATCTATCTACCTCCATCACACAGCATTTAAAGGGTTTCATGCTGCCCAAGATGTATTGTTCCCATTTTAACAGTGGGTTACACTTTTTTTTAAAATAAAAAGCATCATCTCGCTAAGATCTGTTTCAACCTGTTCTGGAACTGCCTGATTTGAAAACTGCTTCATGACTGTTTTATTTTGGTGGTCCCTTACCAAAAATAGTTTTGTGGTTACAGATATCAGAGGGGCCAAGGATGAAAGGGGAGAGATTCCAGAAGCAACAGGTAAATGTGATGCTCACAAAACTTGTATCAGTCAGGTCCATAACATTTAATATGATTTGTGCGGAATCTGAGTTGCAGGCAAACTATTAGTTGTAGAAAATCTATTTAATAAATCTACACTCGCATGTGTAGTTCAATGCAGCCGGTAAGTGTGCATGTGGTGACTCGTCAAGACTACTTTTCCCGCGATTCAATGGGTCTTGACCCATTGCCGCATGCACACTTGCCGGCAAGCATTGGAATCGCGTTGAATCCCGAGAAATGAAATTCTGATCAGGACTACGTTTCCATCGATTCTGAACAGCCGGCCAGTAAGTGCGCATAGTTCAATGGATAATTTTCCAGGATTCAATGCAAGTTACAAGTTAGAAGGTGGGTGCAAAGAAATCTTAAGCGGCTTTGATAGGAATCTGAATGGGACTTGGATGAGTCTACAACTTAGGCGATTATACAATTTATAAAGATAAAACGTTTGCAAGTTTTACTGGATACCCATAGCATTTTATGGTTAACAATGTTAATCATGTCTAAATGCTTCTCACACATTGATGTTTTATTGGTTCCTTTAAAAAATGTAAATTTAGGAACGCGATGAAAAGAAGCAAAAACTCCAAATGGAAAAGCAAGAGAAAGGACGTGCAAGAGATGAGGCCAGGATTGCCAAAGAGCGTGCAAAGGAAGAAGCAAAGAAAAAAAGAGATGAGGAGAAAGAACAGAAGGACAAGGAGAGGAGAGAGAAAAAGGAGAAAGAAGAAAAAGAGAAAGCAGAAAGGCTAAGAATAAAGGAGGAAAAACGAAAGGAGAAGCAAGATGCAATGGAGTGAGTCCCCATCCTTGTTCTGGTCTTTCTCTCCTGTAAGGTTTCAAGATGGAGGTAGATAGATATTTGTTAGGTCAGGGGTTTAAGGGATGTGGGCCAAGGATGAGTAACTGGACTTGAGGTACAGATCAGCCATGATGTTATAAAATGGTGGAACAGGCTCGAGGGGCTGAATAACCTACTCGTGTTTCTCTGATCTGTAAACTCCTTTTAGATTGGCATGTTCATTTTGGGTTTGTTTTGGATGGGAAAATTGAATTCTGTACAAGTGTACATGACTGATTTGCAGCTCCTGCCTGAAAATAGTTGAGTTGGATAAGTTACAATCCAATATCCGGCTGCCTGTTTGTATAATATATTACTGTACATTTGAGTTTGCTTAATGTTGTACTCTATCGGACCAGACAAAATTACAAATTGTACATGCTATAACAATAGGGGAATGTCCCTTTGCAAATACTTCCAGTCTGATCTGAAAACATTTATAATTTCAGGGATACAAAAACATGTTAAAAATGTAATATTTTACTTCAATTTAACTGAAGCTAACTCCTTGCTAGCTGGACTTCCCAATTCTTCCCTCCACAAACTGCAGATTATTTAGAGTTTTGTCCTCTCCTGCCCTAAACTCTGAGCCAGTCACCTCCATCATTGCCCAGCTTTACTGGCTCCCTATCCCGCAGAGAATCAAGTTCAAGATGCTCGTACTCACTTTTAAAGTCCTCCGTGGTTTTGCTCCTCCCTACCTCTGTAACCTACTAAAAGTTACCAACCTCTCACTCGGCAGACACTGGCCTGCTCCATGTCGCCAAACCTACCCGCTCCACCATCAGTAGTTGGGCCTTCGCCCTTAATGCACCCACCCCATCACTGTCCAGCACCTTGGGATGTTCTTATAAATGTAATATGGGTTATTTAAAAAAAAATCAGTTATTTTTGACGTCTTTGAAATTGAATCTCAAAAATAACGGCCACTATTGGCACTAAAATATTGTACTGTAACAAACTTCTCATTGGACCATCCACCTTCCATCAACCTGCCCCATGCTCCCATGGGACCATCCACCCCTCTCCTCATTCCAGATTTCAGGTGCTGGAGCGATGCTACGGCAGCACTATGCCCCCGGGTACAACATTATTCAATCTTGTTTATTGGGACTTCAAATTTGCATAATATTAGATGAATTATGACATTTTTACTGCTATAACAATACTCAAATGTGTACAAAACATACCAAGCAAAGCTGGTTCCATCCGCCAGTATAACATTAGGTGGATTATAACAGTGGGTGATTTAAGATTGTGCACACTCGACAGTATAAACAATTTGATGTAGAATTGAGAAGGGTCAATAAAGAGTTTGAATGGGCGAGTTTATTTAAGTCACTTGTGTTAATGCTTGTTCCTGTATTTTACAAAATCTGTTAATTGTTAGTTTTGAAACCTTCACATATTTTCTACACATATGGTGCTAACATTAATTAACAAGTTGTATTTAAAATCGACTAAAAAATAGCATTAAAATAGGACTTAATTTGATCTATCTAGATACTTAAATTAACCTTAATTTCTTTAAAGAGCCAAGCTTGAAGAAAAAAGAAAGAAGGAAGAAGAGAAACGTTTGAAAGAAGAGGAAAAGGTAAAAATAAATCTGTTGACACAAGATGGCTTGTGAATGAGGGTATCCATAAGTGCACACTAATATGACCATTATATTTCAGACATTGGCAGAACTGATTTTAATTGGCCATCTTCATTTTCAGTTGCTGGAAACTAATGATTTGTTTTTCAGCAGCAATGTGAATATGGAACTTTTAAGAACTGAAAGAAATATTGAGTAATTTAAATCTAAAGTACCTTCTTTCTGATCTTTTAAGATTGGAGGAAGGTCAAGAAAATGGCACAACCTAATCTAAACTTAGAAAATCGAGTACCCGCTAGGCAATCTTATGAATTTAATATTGAATTTTCCCAATTTTTTAACTGGATTAGCTTTTGGCATCCAGGGGCAGAAGACATGTCATACTTCATCATTCCTTGTGGGTGGAGTTGCAGCTTCTTTGAAAGAGTGACTTCAAAATGGGGAGAGTTAGTTTATATAAAAACTATCCCTCTATCACCTTTCATTGGTCTTTCAGTGAAAATAAAATAAGTGAGCTGTCAAGCAGTGATTACATTTTAATTTGCTAGAAGATGACAATTTATATTTTAAAAAAACCCTTCATCTTCTAGTCCTTGTCACCACCAGCTTTCTTTTGTCACATTGCAGCAGCAGTGATTAGTGCGATCACTGCGTAATGATAGGCATTCGAAGGCAACTCAGTTTTGTGATGAAACTGGCAAGTCTATGATGCAACTAGCCAGTGGGATTAAAGCTGTAATTGGAGCTTGACTGCAATTGTAAGCTACTCAAGTTTCACTCTTGTGGCTTTGTCGGAAGCACTCAATTGTTCACCTCTTTCATCACTGCCAGCTATCTGTTGTCCAAGATAACTAGAGTGTATAGTAATTTAGGAGTGAATGTCAATCATAAGGATACCAGTGAACCTTTTCAAACAATCTGTTCTCAGCCCAAATTCTATCTATACTGGGAAATCCATTCTGTGTTAAATCAAATGAGCATTACCAAATCTCTCAAGTGATTGAGCTGCAATCATTGAGCCTCTAATAGAGGTATTGTGCTGTGAATTACTTCACTTTCTGAAGATCCTACTTCATAGGTTTTCTATACTGAATTCACAAGTCATGTAAGAAAGAAAACTCTCTATTCTTGTACAGTCGTATGTGTGTGTGATTCACTACATTATCCATTATTCAGAAGTGCCATGTTAAATGTGATTACAGCGTATGAAGGCAGAAAAAGTAAAGGAGAGCTCAGAGATATCGAGGTTCTTCCAAAAACCAAAAGCTCCTCAGGCCCCTAAGGTAAGAATTATTTTCATAACCTTGAATATACATATAGCTTAAAGCAAACTTCCTTCCAGTACAAACCTATTCAAATCATTTCATTCAGTGTTATTAAAAATCTCCTGACATGAAAGGCGCTATATAAATGTAAAAGCAATTTATTTTCTGTCATTATCTTAAATACTTTACTTCAGTATGTATACCTTGTATATTGTATCTCCAGTTTAGTCTAACAGAGTCCATCTTTCCCAGACTCTTGCTGGATCCTGTGGGAAGTTTGCTCCTTTTGAAATCAAAGAACATATGGTCCTTGCTCCAACAAGCCGAATATGCTTGGATCCAAAGTCTCTTGAACAATTTGATGAACGGTTGGAAGATCAGAGTTTTACCTCCAATTATTTAAAAGAATTACATGGCTATAAACCCAGAACTTCAGGGCCTACATGTCCCCGATTGAGTGTTGCTGAAAGCATTGCATGCAGGTAAAAAGCATTGCACAAACTAAGCATTTCTTGAAGACCATTGTATTTTCTCGGAACAAGTCAAATTATAACATGGACAGTGAAGAGAAGCTTGATAGAGATTTTGTTATTGTTTGTTGTTGTGTGTTTGTAGGCAGTCTGTGTGAAACCCTTACAAGAGCTGAAAGTTGTCTGACTTACCATTTTGTGAGTTAATTTCCTGTTGCATTCGTTCACAATTAATGCCCATTCTGTTTTTTCCCCCTAGTGATGTAATTGTTGTAGAAACCAGTACAAGTGATGGAAATGTTGATCGGAAGAAGTTTGGCAGGATGAAGCTGCTACAGTTCCATGAAAATCACCGTCCTGCTTACTGGGGGACATGGCAGAAAAACAGTGTGAAGGTGAACCCAAGACATCCTTTAGCCAAAGATGAGGTGAGTGTGTGCAGAGATAGGAAAGGAGGAATTGCAAAATATATATTGGCTATCAGTATGTTTGAAATGTTTTGTACCAGTATAAAATGTAGATTGCAACTGGTGAATTTGGTTTCATTGTATTGAAATAATTGTCTTCAAAACTCTGCCTTCCCTCACCTCCGTAACATCGCCTGACTCCGCCACTACCTCACCCCTCAAGCAGTTGAAACTCTTTTTCATGCCTTCATCACCTCTAGGCTATGCAAACGCCCTGCTTGTCGGCCTTCCTAACTTCTCCATCCACAGCCTGCAGATAATCCAGAACTCTGCAGTCCGTGTCCTCTCCCGCACCAAACTCCGTGACCCCATCTCCCCCATTTTCGCCCGACTCCATTGGCTTCCTATCCTTCAGAGGATCCAGTTCAAGATTCTGGTCCTCACCTACAAAGCCCTTATGACCTCGCCCCACCCTACGTCCGTTTCCTCCGCTCAGCCAGCTCCAGCCTGCTCTACTTCCCCGACCCATCCGCCCCACCATTGGCGGGAGAGCCTTCAGCCACTCTACCCCCAACCTCTGGAATTCCATCCCCTAATCACTCCACCTTGTCCCCTGCTTAGTCTCCTTCAAGTCCCTCCTCAAGACCCGCCTCTTCGACCATGCAATCGGCCTCCCCCCACTGACCCCAGTTTGGGTCTGAAGTGCTGTCCAGCGCCTTGGGACGTCCTCCCGACGTGAAAGGGGCTATACAAATGTAATCTTGTTGTTAAGAGTGGAGCATGAACTTTATGTGCCTATGATTGTTTTTAGCATTCAGCATCTTTGCCCCCACACTCTAGAACTCTGTCCCGCAATCCCTCCGCCTCACCCGCTCTCTTGCCTCCTTCAAGTCCCACCTAAAGACCCTTCATTTTGACCGTGTCTTTGGCCACCTTCTCAACCGTACCTCCCTCCCCTGCCCTGCACCAACTCCCAGCTTAGGTCCTAAACTCCTGACTGTCCAGCGCTCTGGGACGTCTTTTCGACGTGAACAACGGCATTCAAGTGTAATTTGTTGTTGTTTATTCTTGCCTCACTCCCTGATAGCTTGCAGGTGATGCAAGCTTCACTGAGCAGTGCTGAGCAACCATCTGTCAATAGGGCGTTCCAACTGACTGCCCTTGCAGGCAAGGGCATTTTTCTGCCCCAATTTCTTCTCCGTCTCTCAATTCTAATGGATAATTGGCACAGGCTCAAGGCCCAAACCGTAATCCTGATTTTTCAACCCATTCAAGGTCTTGAACTACCCCATGCATAATTATCCTGTATGTTCCATCCAATAACTCTTCACTCTTCCACCTCTGATCTGTGGCTTGCTCCCCAAACTGTCATTCCTTCAGTGGCAGCCAAGCCTTGAGCTACCATGTCCCTATACTCGAACTCTTTCAAAATCATTTTACTAAGCTACGTGTTCTGCCTTCGAAAACCTCTCAAAAGCACCTTGTGTACACCATATGTTTGTCAAGCCCTTTGATGCATTATTTTAGGCAGTGGATTTTATATAAATAAAATGTAGCTAATCCCAGGTTTGCAATGGGACAGTCGAATAAATGTTTGATGTTCTTGAGCTAAGAAACAGGATAAATCAGTGAGGTTTTTTGCTTTACGTAGCTCCATTGCTTATTCTAGAAAATGAGTGCAAGTGGAATGAAGACTGGATCAAGTTTGGCTGTGCTTGTGCTCAAGCAGCCTGCCAAAACATTAGGTGTCTGGGCTCACATGTGGAGAATGACAACTTGAGAGAATTACCAAAAAGCTATCGGCTCCTTTAGTACCATGTGCTAGCACCAGTTACTCCCTTTAGGAAGTGGTAAAAATGTTTGCTTTTAAGCTTGGGTAGGTACTGATTATATAAAACTTATTTCAACAGGTTTTACTGGATTATGAAGTGGACAGTGATGATGAGTGGGAGGAAGAGGAACCTGGTGAATCTCTCTCACACAGTGAAGGGGTTAGTTCACATTTGTCTTCCTATGTTGAACCCTGAAATAAATTAGATTTTTTAAATATTTAGCAATGGATTGCTTTTATAAATCTATAGGATTCCATTTTGATGATCTGATACGTGAACTCTTCTCACAATATTTTCATGGCATGTTTTAGTATTACTCACAAAGAAATGCACTGGGGTGGAGTTCTGTTGCATTTTTCATGTGGTAATCTCCATTGCAACTGGAAACAAAAAGCAACTTGTAAATTAAAACGATTGGAATAGTTTCCATGTTGGACCTTATTTGTTAAACAGAATTGTATCATTAAATGTCACCGAGGAGCACCTTCCAAGTGTTGCAAAGCATTTTACCTGTACTACGAATGGGTTGGAGATTGAAATCCAGGAAGAGAATCATTGACACCGACTCAATAGTTTGAATGTATTTATGTGCAATATTTTTTCCACTTTCAGTTTACCTTTCAGTTTACCTTTATTGTGTTTTTCTTTTACATTCCAGCATTTTCATATTTCGAATGTGAAGTACAAATATGGATTAAAAGAGATTATTTATTACAAATCAAATTGAACCTAGATCTCTCGCTTGCAAGGCGAGTCCTCTAACCACTGAGCTGCAGGACTCCATAATTAACATAGTGGGGAACTCATCTATACGAGCTACTCCGAAGAGCTTGTTCTGACGATGCATTTCCTCCTTTACAGGATGATGATGATGAGGGAGATGATGAAGATGATGACGATGGGTTCTTTGTGCCTCATGGCTATCTGTCAGAAGGAGAACGGTCGACTGATGAAGTAAGTACTCCAGGGAGATTCTGCCAAAACTCAGCTCACTTTAAAAATAACAATCTACCATTTGATTGTGGATGTCTAGTTGGTTTATATAAACATGTTGTAATGCTCTCCCTCAGGAGAGGCTAGAGAAGCTGGGATTATTCTCCTTGGAGCAGAGAAGATTAAGAGGAGACTTAGTAGAAGTTTTCAAAATTATGAGGGGATTTGATAGGGTGAACAAGGAGAAACTATTTCCACTGGCAGGTGGGTCGGTAACCCGAGGACACCAATTTAAAATAGTTGTTAAAAGAAACAGAGGGGAGGTGAGAAATTTTTTTGCACAGCGAGTTTTTGGGATCTGGAATGCATTGCCTGAAAGACTGGTGGAAGCCGATTCGATAATTTTACAGCTTTTAAGAGAGAAGTAGATAATTATTTGGGGAGGACAAGTTTGCAGAGCTATGGGGAGAGAGCGTGGGAGTGGGATTGAATTGGATAGTTCTTTTCAAAGAGCCGGCACAGACATGCCCGAATGGCTTTCTGTATAATTCTATGATTCTACGATTCATACTTCTGACCACATTTTAGCTGGGATACCACATGGTGCTAAGTAGAGGCAGGTATCTCTCAAAAAGAAGGGACACATCTCATTGTCCCTGATTGATGTACAGCCTTGGTAAACTATGAGAGAGGATGGAAGTGCAAATTACTATAATTGAGGACAACAGCAACTTGGGTAGCATCACAGACCGCTTAACAGCAGAGTGGGTTAGACTTGAGCTGGAAAAAGAATGGTGATGAGATGTCACCTCTCAGCTTCCCATCTTCCTCTTCCAGCATTCCCTCTGCATCCCTCCAATCCAGTTTTTGCCCTACACAACACTCAGACTCCTTTGGTAAAAATCAGTGTTCTCTCCATCTGACCAAGTTTCTCTGCCTCTTTGTTCTCAGTCTCTGGAGCATTTGATGCTATTGACTGCATTCTCCTCTCCTTGCTCCACTTGTTTGGTTCTGTTCTTTCCTGGTTTTACTCGTATTCATCCTAGCATCCCCGCTTTGTGTCCTTCAGTGGTTTGTCCTCCTGCTCCCGCACAGTCATTTGCATGTTTTTAAGGGCTCTATACTCTTTCCTCGCCACCAAAGCATTTGGACCTTTCTTCCCTCATTCTGAAACTATCCCTGAATTCATACAACTTCAAAATCTGCAAAAGACCCATCTCCAGCCATGCATTTGGCCACCCTTTTTTCTCCCGTCCCTTAGCTCAGGCTTTCAGTCAGTTGTGTGAAGGGCTCTGAAATATTCTCTCGGCATGAAACATGCTATAAATGTTGATATTGCTACTTGAAATTGGTCTATACATTTCTACTGCCCCACAATAACATGGGGGGAAAAAAAGTTTTTTTTAAAAGTGAAGTTCTTGTGAAGTGTTGGTTCTTAAAGGTGCAGTTGATGGAAAGTCTGGATGGTTTATGTAGGAGGGTGAAAACCCTGAGAAACAGAAAATCCGTCAGAGGCTCAAGGCAAAGGAGTGGGATGAGCTGATGAAAGGCAAGAAATTCCAGGTGCTGCAGCCTCTCCTGATTGGATGTGTGTGGGTGAACGACAGTGACGAGGTGGACAATCCTGCCCTGAAGATATTGCAGCAGTTTTCCGTCTGTGTGTTGAAATCTCGCATTGAGGATGAGCAGCAGCAGGAAATGCACAACAGGAAAGCAAGGGATCATCAAAGTAAGTGAAATGGTAGATTGTAGATCTAATGGTAGATTGTGTGTGGGGTGGGAAGAGAGTCTGTTGAACCATTGTTTTTCACATGGAATGGTATAATTGATGGTCTCAGACGGTACTTGAATCTCTGCTTTACTTGCAGCATTTTTCTTTCTATCTAAAGATTAAGGAAAGAATAAGGAAACTTGCTTAACATTTCACCCTGCTGGGAATCAAACCCAGGTCTCTCACTTAAGAGGCCAGTGCTCTAACCACTGAGTTACAGGTCTCCCAACAGTACAACAATTCCCCATCACTGCGTTGGCGGTTCAGCTTAGACCATGGTAGCTCCAAATCCCACTGGGGTTTGGGCAACCACCTTTGACTCTGAGGCAGTAGTGCTACCACCTGAGACAGGCTGATGCGCATAAGGAATGATGTGCGTCTGATTACTGTCAGAGTTAAATATTTCTGATTCCCTTTTGTATGTGTACAGATGGTATATAAACTGCAATAAAGCCTTGATTGAAATTACAGCCTGGAGATGGGGTTAGTTTGTAATGTTCTATAACCTCTGTGTGGTCTCTTTTTTTTTTTTCCAGTATTAATACAGCTGCTTCCTCTTCTTCATGGTAATGTCAATGGAAGAAAGGCCATAATCAATGAATTTCAGGAATGGTATAGACAGAAATTATCAGACACCTTGACAGTCTCCGCTTCAAACACAAGTCCAATAAACTCGGAAGCCTCACGACCTCAGACTCCCACAGTGGATGGAGACTTGACCGTTCCATCAAAGGCAAAATTAAAACGTCTCATTTCAGAAAATGGAGTGTATGAGAAGAGAACGGTCTTCAAGTCACGATGCTGGTATGTGCATGAAGAAGTGCTGAAAAGGTTTGGAAGGGAAAACCTCCCTGTTCCCACTCAGTGGAATTACCTCACACCATTGCATTCTGTAATCAAGGAGGATGGCGCTGCAGCAGTGGGAGGTGCACAGACTAACCCCAACTCTGGGAAGATCACATCACAGTGCTTAACAGGTTCAGCCAAGAGGAAGGCCGCTGGAAGCATGTCCATCAAGAAGTTCATGCATAAATATGTAGATGCTGAAGCATATCAGGTGAGATCTTGTTCTGAAATGAGGTTTTTGCTGCTCTTTTTAATGGTCAGGGAGGGTTTATTTGGAAACAAAATGAGAACTGCTGTATAAACTACATAATGTTTGTAAGAATGAATGAATTGCATTAATTGTTTTCTGTTAGTTTCTTGAGCTTTATAAATGTGTTGTGAAATGCCAGTTGGAAAATTATTTTCTTTCTTACACCATCACCAATTGGTCATTTCCAGCATTGATCCAAGGTGAAAACACAGCTGGTGTCTGACAGTATAGACGTGCTCAATTCTGCTTAAATTGCTTCTGGTTTGATGTGGAGTCCTGTAGTATAGTGGTTAGAGCGCTTGCCTTGCAAGCGACAGGACTTGGGTTTGATTCTTGGGCAGGGTGAATTGTTGGTCAAGCTTCCTTGCTCCCTGTTTACCTAGCAGTAAGTAGGAATCTGGATGTTATCGATTTCTGGGTCTCTTTCTAGGGTTAATAATCCCACCCCCCCAAAAAAAACAATAATAATTTGGTCACTCAATACCCGACTGTTTGTGGGCCGTTGCTGTGTGCAGTTGGCGGCCGCGTTTCGCCCACAAAATATCAAATCACTTCGCTTTATTCTGTGAAGCGCTTTGAGACGTTATTATGTAAACCGCCTATGTGGTAATAATCCCGAGACCAACTGATAGGAAGTGTGTGAACAGAACCTTCAAGGTATTGGTTAGATGCCCTGTGTATAAATGGGGAATATGCATTCTGTGAGAACCATCAGCGTGAACTGGGAACCTCAATCCATTAATTTGCCTCCTGAGGCTCATTGTGAACCTGACATGAACCCCATTTTGTTCAGCTCCAAAAAAAGGAGAGTTTCCTGTAAAGCTGCCTTTTGTCTTCACAGTCCAGTTGCTTTGTAGTGCAGTTTATTGTTCTGTGTCTTGGGGAATTAGAGAAAGCCGCTGATAATGGGTGGTGGGGGGAACAGTTTCCCAAATCACTATTCAGTCTCGGCTTCTGTGAAGATTGGAGTTTATTCAGAGGAATTTAAGCTTTGGAGAATGAGCTGATGGGTGTAATGTTTAAATCATTTTGTCTGTGTGGTACTTTGCCAATAGTAGATTCCTTGTAGGTTGGGAATTGTGCAACTGGTAGTAAAACATTCCATGCGTGTAGGTATTTGAACTTTCAGTATTGTAGAACATTCCCTAAATCATGTATCCTTTGTGTTTTTTTAAAAAAACAGGATACGTGTTTTAAGGAACCACAGCCCACTGGGGCTGCCCTCTTTTTTTAAAAAACAAAATGTCCAATTTGTTTTCTCCTTGCCTGATCTGTCCTCACACAGTGGCCACACGTAAACATTACCCGGAACCTTGGCTGTCTTCTCTCCTCCCTAATCCTGGAACAGTCGGCCAATTTAGTCCCGCAGTTCCAGCTGAGATCAGCAAATTCATCTCAGACCAATGAGCTCCTGATCAATAAACTGCAGTTCTAAGCACAACCCACTGGGGCTGCCCTCTACAGCTCCTTTCTAGCAGCCGGTGGGAATTAAATCATCGCAGTTAATTTGGCTTCTGTAATTTCACCACAAATTTCACCACAAATGTTGCTGTTTACTTTTCAGACGCTCCTCTGGAGGGGGTTTACAAACCTGTCTACCTGAATTATGCTTTGTTTTTCATTACAAATGGCAGCAGTGGTAATAGGGATGCCACCAGCTTTGAGGTGAAATCTCTCTTCATCCCTGCATAGATAGTTTGGGAACTTCACATTCAAAACCAATGTCAGATCAGAGTCACCTCGCCTGAATGCCTCACCAACCTTTGGTAAAGGTTGCAGTCCTGCACAATTTCCGAGTTGACTGTTCCTGCTGCTAAATTCAACAAAAAAAACTGCTAATTAGATATTTAACCTGTGGGATTAAGTCTGCCTAAAGGGGAGAGTAAATAGCCAAGTTAAAACCATTTCCACTTTATAAAACACATTGAACTATATGTGGGGAGTGTGAAAAGGTGCATTTTTTATTGAAAATTTAATATTATATTCCTTACTAACTTTATATTCCTCTGCCCCATCCTTACACATCAGTTGCCAAATCAACTTGAATTGTAAGGCCAATTCTCCTGAAGACCCTTTGATTCTTGGTCTTTGTTTAAAATGTCACCAAATCTATGGTGGAGTGCTGTAGCTCAGTGGTTAGAGCACTCGCCTCACAAGCGAGAGACCTGGGTTCGATTCCCGGCAGGTCAGGGCGATATCTTGGGCAAGTTTCCTTGCTCCACACGCCTGATAATAATCCCTCAAGAAAAAAAACATAATAATAATTTGGTCCCTTCAGTTCCACGACTGTTTGTGGGACGCTGCTGTGCGCAATTGGCTGCCGTGTTTTGCCCACAAATATACAGTCAATTCACTTTGCATTATATTCTGTGAAGTGCTTTGAGTTGTCTAGAAGATGTGAAAATTGCTATATCAAATGCAAGGATTATTTTATTACTTTCCCTCAGGACACTTGAGCACCAGGAAAGCAAAGTCACAAAGAAGCAGTTAACACCAGCATATTGCAACCTTGGGTGATTCTGATCTGGCATTAGTGCTGAATGCAACAGTCAGCCAGGCTGGAAAAGCACAGCTCCGATCACAAAAATGATTCTACCTGAGTGGACCATTCTTGAGAACCTGTAGACATCTGCATGTTGTCTTCCTCACCTTGGGGCTTCACAAATATACAGTCTATTCTGTGAAGCGCTTTGAGACGTTTAGAAGACGTGAAAAGCGCTATATCAAATGCAAGGATTATTATAACATGACAGGTTACCATTGTGGAACCTAAATTTGCCACAATTGAGGGTATGTAGTACTCTTCCTTTTGTGGACATGGTAAGTTTCTTGTGGTGAATGAAACTTCTATTGATGTCTTACTCCTGGCAAGCGCTTAGCAGACTTGGTGTATAATGGTCGATGAGAGGACAGACAAACCTTGCAATGCTGTTTGCTTCCTAGGTTGCTGTGATGGAGACCGATGGCTTTCAGGCAGATACAGAGGAGGATGATGACACAGACTGTGTAATTGTTGAAGTACATACAAACCAGTCGGTTCCAAACAAAAACGGTATTTACTTCCCAATGGGGCAACATTTCCATGATGTGGACTTTGTATTGCATTAAGATGAGAAGTTAGTTTTCGACTTTGAAGTGCTGGGATCTCAAAAAGTTTCATAATTGATCCATTCAATTTTGATTTTGGCTTTACTGTAAAGTGGGAAGTTTAATATTCCTCGCGTTGGCTATATTCATTGCCCTCCACCCCTTCATCTGTCTGTTCAAATTAGTTATTGGTCATTGTATTTCTGTCATTGCCAAAAGGCAGGAAAGCTGTTCTGTTGATCTGACCGCCAACTAATGAGTGAGATTATCTTTCACTTTCATTTTCCCTTCCCAATCAAATGACAAACTACCCGTGACCCACAGATGAAGTTGGCAGTTTTGGAATGTGCTGTCTGATCTGTTCTAACCAGACTGTCACCCTGACAGCACTGTTGTGGATGCTTCACTACATTTGCTTTAAGTCACAAATGGATATTCATTTGCAGTAATTGTGTATTCGTGCCTTGTGAAACTCAAGCAACCAAAATGGCATAATAATAATGTTCACCAGTTGTGATTTTGAAAACTCAGTATGATAAAATGTCATCACTCTTAAAGTTGGGGAAACTTCTTTGATTGATGTCTGTTACACATTGTTATGAATTGTGAATAACAATAATCTTTGGTAAACTTTTCACGTCAGGAAATCTCTGCAATAAGTTCTGCAACTTGACTGGGATTCCGTTGCTGATGTTTCTATTTCTCTTCCATCTCTTTTGAAAGAAAAAGAGAAGCTACCCGGAGGATTGTGCCAGGTATCCGCCAGAGGTCCGCAGACACTTGTGGAGTCGTGCTCAGCATCCATCACTGGTGAGCAAAAGCCTGCGGACTTGTGCTTGGAATCTGACGGTGGTGAACAGAGGTGTGCAGAGTTGTGCTCAGAATCTGCTGATGGTGAGCAGAGCTCTCCCAGCGGTGAGCATTTCCCTGTGGAGTCCAGCACGGAATCAGCCAGGAGTGAGCAGCAGCCTTTGGAATCTTCCATCGTTGAGATGATGGACGTTTTTCCCTGTGAAAATTCTGCTGTCGGCCCGTCCTCCAGTCCCTGAATTACTGATATTCTAGTAGCTGTATGTATGTAGAGGGGTATTTTTTAGAAATTTCTTAAAAGCATTTTTGTGCATTGCTTTGTAAACTTCGATTTTAAATACTTGAAGTTCTGAATTCATTGTAAAAAAAAACTAAATAAAACGGCACTTTTGTGACAAAATGCGAACAATTGTAACTTGATAACTTTAAGATGCTGGTTGATTTTTGCTGATACGTAAGAATGTAAAATATTAAACTCATTTGTCATTAATAAACACTCACTGCAATATAATGTATAGTACGAAGATTTGTGTGTAATGGTAATTCACAGCCATGTTTCAATTGGTCTTGCTTGTAATTGAGTTAATTCAGACGTGGCTAACTTTAGATGCACATTTTTATACTAACCACCTGATGTGCAATTGAACCTTTGGCACAATATAGATGTCTTACAGAGCACTGCATATATTTATGTAGGAATAACCCAATTCTGGAATCACTGTTCTGTTTGATCAAATTTGACAATGAATTAGTGCCTCTAATCAATACTCTTCCTCCCCATTTTCTCTGCCTTTCTCTTCCTCTGTCCAGTTAATTCTATTCAGGAGGGAGGGATAAGCTCACAGATAGTTATCCACAAACATCAGTGCCTCTAAATTTTAACCGTTAGACTGCTGACATTCAGGGAACTGACATTGAGCTATTTGTTTTTTTAGCTCCTGCAGTGGCACTGAATGCTGTTACGATGTGTCAGGATAATTTATGTTATTGTACTGTCAGATTTGAATATTATCTGATACATTTTCTGTCCTCAGTTGAAATCAAAATATAATGCTTGCATTTGATATAGTGCCTTGTTACAAGATGTTTCAAAATGCTTCATAGGATATACTGTAAACTGGATTGACTGTTTTGTGGATGAAGATATTAAATATCCTATGTAGACAGCTAAATTATGAATTCATTTAAGATGAAAATTTAAAACTTGAGCATGGTGTATCCCTTGACTACCAAGGACTTGCTCTTAAACATGAGTTTGATGCACTGATCTGATGCAGAAGAAATTTGATTCAAAGAACAGAAGGGGAAAATATTTTTAAGCAGGAAAAGTATGTTAATACGTGACTGCAGTTTGCAACACTTGTATGAATCGAGGTAGGGTGGGTGCATTAACTGATTGTTGCAAATGAAATATATTCCGGATAAATAATTGTAATTGCAAAGCATAATTTTTAATGTGACACAAAGCAAATTTTAGTAGAAATCCACGTGCAAGGCAAAGTGCAATCAGTGAGAAGCAATCCTCCATCCATCCCCAGTGGGTGAACATCTTGAAACTGCACAGTAGGAATAATTCAGCAGGAGGCTGCTGTAAAATGTATTTTCTAGAATTGTAATGCATCAAATAATTTGGTCAAGCAATTACACACATTCATTCCACCTGCATTAGAGAAATGCCACTAAAAATCATACTTATGAATCTAAAACAAATGCCACCTGTTTTGAGGGTAAACTGATAATTATGCATTTCAAATTACTATACAAAGTGCAGCTTTTATCAATTAAATACATATGAGTGCTATGCAAATAAGTTTTTTTAATTCCTCCAAGACTATACGGTGGGGCAGGACATTATGTAAATTGCACAGTAGTTCTAGGAATAGAAAAGGATATTCCATTTACAAAAGTGAAAAATTGGTAACTAAACAGATCAACATAATACATCAATGGGAAGGGTCTCCTCCACCCCTGTCAGGCGGCTTTCTGTTTGCTGATTGTGGGTTACTCCGAGAGAACCGCTTGAGATCACCCTCAACTCACTAGAATTGTCCAGTAATCAAAGAGGAAAAATCTCCTTTCCTGTTCGAAGGCTAAGGCCATTTTTCAAAACTGGATCTTCAGCTTCTTATTAAATAAAATTGCCCTCCCTCTCGGACAATAAATCATGAAACACTTCTTTGAAAACCTTATATCACAGTTCCAGAATAAGTTGCCCTCACATTTAATCACTCGTTATGTTAACAGATACCCAAGGCTGAACATTTAGAGCAACGCTGAAGATGAAAGTACAATTTGATACGGCAGTGTAGAGTAGATACAGTGATTTCAAATGGGAATCTGAAGGTTATTTGGGTGGGGGTGGATTTCTGGTCTGACTTATTTTTGACGAAACACAATTCTGCAGAGGCTGGAAATCTGAAACAAAAACAGAAGTGGCGGGAACGCTACTCAGCAGGTCAGGCAGCATCTGTGCAGAAAGGAAAGTGAGTCAACGTTTCACGTCCACAACCCTTCATCAGAACTGTTGAAAAACATTGACACTTTTTTTTCTCCATAGATACTGCCTGACCTGCTGAGTGTTCCCAGCGCCTTCTGTTTTTGACTTATTTTTGATGCTGCCCTTCTCATCACTGTTTTACATTTGTGTACACATTTTTTTCTCTCTGTTTGAATTGGCTCAGGGTCAAGCATCCTTCCTTAAGAAATCTGGGCAGATAACTCTATTTAGCACCACCCTAACCAGCTCTCGACTGTGCTGGAGCAGACTTTGCCATCAGATCTCAAATTCACCTTCACAAAGGACAGGCGCTCCTCACAACGGTCCCTTACAATCACGGATGAGCCAGGAATGGTAGGTGGGGGAATTGGAGTGAGTGCATTTGTTATGTTAAGGAAAATGGGGGAATTGGACTGTAGTGCAATTGGATGTTAAAGTGTCATGGTGGGTGTTCCTTGGCATCAATTGATCCAAAAGGGTTTGTTTCTCACAAATTCCCACTTCTACCCTCCTTCATTTGATACAATTTTAACACAATTCCAAAGCATTATATAAAAAAAATACAATATTCAAGTGAACATTCAAGCCCTTTTTTTACTTATACAAGCGTTTGGACATTAGAGAGGAGTTCTGGCTTCAGTATGCTGGTATGATTCTGCCCGGCAGCCTCCAGATCGGCTAGAATCTCTGCGTCCCACGTCAAGGTCAGCAATGCAGCAGGAACCTAAAACAGAAAGAACAACTTGTGAAACTGGAATCTGGGTGGGTGTCGGAGGGAACAAGTATCAGCTATGGAATGACAATCAAGCAATCAGATGCTATTGACCAGCCTTCAGAAATGAGGAAAGTTCCTCTGAATTTCTCACGCACTTCCCTCAATGGCTCAATGGGTTTATCCATTGACAATATCTGAACCATACACATTGCTCTTACCAACGAGTGACTCTCCTCCGGGGTGGGGGGGAGAGAGGTATGTGGGGTCTCCTTGGAGCTGAACTGGCTTCAAGGTGACATGTTTGGTAACAGAATGTCAGGAATCAAGTCCACCCTCTGGCAATCTCGATAGTCCGAGACCTGAGCCAGATGGGTCCGCAGTACTCCAGGGCACTGCTGAGGACAGCACAGCAGCCTGGCTCATCGGCAGGACTTGGAAGGGCAGACCAGTCACTGGGGGCAGGGAATCATTCCATTCAACTCCTCTTAACCCTACATAACAGGGTGGGGGATAGGGTTGAGATTAAACAAAAGTCAGTCAAGGTTCTGGTGTTCCTGCTGGTAGTGCACACACGGAGATGTCAGGAATAAACAGGTTAGAGCTTCGCTGCAGTCAGACATTAACAACAGATGAAGTGGAGGAGGCGAGTGACGTGCAGAATCGTACCCCAGCAGGTACCAACCACTTCAAGAGAAAATTGAGAAGGAAAAAAAACAATTGAGTAGAAAAAAGTAACTGGGAAAAGCGGCACCACAAAGTCGCAGAATTTCTGACGATATTTACCAATCCCACTTCATTAAATAATGAGTCGTCATCTTTCAATTTGTGTCCTCCAGGAGCGACCAGCTGAAACGGCATCCAGTCATTCATCAGTGTACTGCTGATAAACGCCCGAAGAGCTGAAACTCGCTCTCGTGCATAGAATGTCCCTAAAGAGAAGAAAAGTACACATTACACCGTTCTGACGATTCTCATTGACCCAAGTTGTGAAGTAAACTGAAGCCAAAGTAAGGTTTGACTTGCCTGTTCCAGCCCACTGCAGAGCTAATATTTGAACTCAGTTTAACAACAGCTTGTAATAATAATACTAATCCCTGCATTTGATAGAGCCTTATCACGTCTTTGAGCTGTCTCAAAGCGCTTCACAGAATATACTGTAAAGTGAATTGACTATATATTTGTGGGTGAAACGTGGCAGCCAATTGCGCACAGCAGCGTCCCACAAACAGTCGTGGATTGAAGTAACCACAATTTTTTTTAATAAGGAATTAATACCCTTGGAAAAGCGATCCGCCAATCGGCTAACAACTGGTTCCTATTTGTATTTATTTAGTGTCTTTCACATAGTATCAACTTCTCGAATCAGATATTGAAGGCATTATTACTGACATATGCAAACATGACCCAGATGGCACTGAATTTGGTCAGGACCAGGACCAGATTGGCTGTGGACACCACCTGAATGCAATGGGACTGTGGATTGTAGATCACACATCACTGAAGCCCCTTGTGCAAGTGGAGACTGTTCCCAAGTACTGACATAGTAAAAGTAAGAGTAGTAAAAAAAAGTCTTTCCAATTAATCACATTAGTTCAATATTCAGATTCAAAGCGCTTTGAGACGTCCGGCGTGGAGGGCGCTATATAAATCCAAGTTGTAGTAGTAGTTGTACATTGAGAAACCCCAAGTTTGATCTCCTGTCAATGCTGATCTTAGTCTAACCAGCAGGGAAGGGGGGGGGGGGGAAGGGGGCAAAGAAAGCAACCTTAAGTTCCCATTCTGGTCACTGTCCATCCTCATCTTACTTGAGGAATGGCCTCTTGAATGGAGAGCACACAGTGACTTGAAAGAATTCCTTTAAAGAAGGAAAAGGAATCACCTTCCTCCAGGGGGATAAGGAGCAAAAATTGGGTGAGAAAACCAAATGCATGACTGAATATCTACATACTGAGGTGAAAACTCCTTCAAACTCTAGAGAAAGAGACGCCTAAATTTGTGAGCTCAAGTCTCTCAATGTTACCTTGTAAAATGTATCCATCCGGCAATCTGACACGTAAGAGGGTGTAGTTATATTTCTTGAGTTCCCGCTGCTCGTTCCTTTCCCTCATAGCCTTGGTTCTCAGCATTGAATTCCTTTCCACTGCATCGGATCTACCATCAGACACAAATTAATGCATTAGTGCTAAGAGGTGCAACCCAATAACTTTCCTCAAATTGGTTCGAAGCTGACAAACAATCTAGATTTGTAATAATAATAATAATAATTCTTGCATTTGATATAGCGCTTTTCACGTCTTCTAGACATCCCAAAGCGCTTCACAGAATATACTGTAAAATGAATTAACTGTATATTTATGGGCCTTTTATGTATATTTGTAGCCTTTGCTGCTGAATTTGCCAACTCGCTCAGCAACTGTGGTGAGAGTGTGGATAAATCCTGACAAGCAGGGTCTACAACAAACATCTCAAGCAATGTAATGGGCAGCCTATCCATCGAAGAGATATCGACAAGGCTACCACCCTCTTTAACTAGTTTCCTACAACATGCGGTTCATTGTATAGTAAACCTCACATAAGTCGTATCAGTTGAGACCATACATTTAATATGACTTATGCAAAGTATGAGCTATGTCAAACAGAGAATCTAAACTCTTGGATTTGGGCAGATGTACAACTTGGGCGATTATACAGATCAGCGAGAGATTTGCAAGTGAGAGACCTGAGTTCAATTCCAGGCAGAGGGCGAAACCTTGGCCAAGTTTCCTCCACACAGAGCCTAATAATAATCCCTCCAAAAACCAAAAACAATAATAAATTGGTCATTTTCAATCCATGACTGTTTGTGGGACATTGCTGTGCGCAATTGGCTGCCGCGTTCACCCACAAATATACAGTCAATTCACTTTAGTGTGTTCTGTGAAGCGCTTTGGGACGTCCTCCCGACGTGAAAAGCGCTATATCAAATGCAAGGATTATTATAATAATTATTATTATCATCATCAGAACTTATGCAAGTTTTACTGTATAAAGAACTTTGCTCAATTCCGTGGTGTACATTGGGACTGCAAACAATATCTCTGCTCCCGAGGCTCCAAAATCCACCCCCCACAGCAAAAAAAACAAAAACTAGGGCAATTCCTCAACCATTTGTGGAAGATTTTTCTAGAGTTGACTATGGGCACCAGCAATAGGTGACTCCAACTGAGCCGCACCTCATCTGTTGCTCCCGCTTGACCTCCTCGGCTGTCAGGTTATAGAAGTCATCGGGTAACTCGAATCTCGCCGCCTGGGGAGTCGGACGGAAAACTTTGATCCGACGATCCAACTGCAGCCGGAGGGGCTCAGCGTTTAATAAGTCGTCTTTGTACTGTCTCAGCTGCTCAAGAGTTGCCAGAAACTTCTCATTCAGTACGTAAAAATCATCTTCGTGATCTGCAAAAGGTATCCATAGTTTACTTTTTGTCATCAAACCAACAGTTGGTGTACAAATGGAACAAAATCTACAACTTAGCCACTTGACTGAATCTCTCTCCTCTAGTTCAGCAAAGCTTTTTAACAGCCATGAAGATCTCCCGAATTCTGGTAGAGACACAAATGTCTCTGTCAGGACAGCAGTGGTCCTGGAGTCCAGAGTGGGAGGCAGAGAGGTGGAGTTGGGTGTCAATCACATACATGTGGAAGTTGACTCCATGTCTGCAGCCCCACAAGAAGCTAAAAAAGATATCGTACAGGTGGAAGCGATCAGATACTCACAGGACACAGATTGGGAAGACTAGATATGGAGAGGAGTATTTTTTTCCTTTTTAAGATAATTATTTAGGAGAATACAGAGATGACTGCGTGATCCACACAGGGAATTGTCACTCTTTCCAAAGCTGGTGCCACTTGACTGCTGTGTTGGGATATTCCTATTTGCACACACGCATTAGTGAGAATTGGAGGTTGCTGATGGGGTGTGTGATTGTGTGAGGAGCTCACTGAATTGCGATACAATCTATTTGAACGCCACGAATGATTCAACATTACCTTGTCCTGGAAGTTGAAAGGTTTTCCTTTCAAATCCAATTGACTGCAGAAATTCATGCGTCCCTTCCAGTTCAGATATCCTCTCCTGCAGAGTAACAAAACGATGGCTTACATGTCAAACCTCATTCCTCAATTTCAATTTAGAAGCAATTTAAAAAAAACTCAACGTTAAGTAAGAATGAATCCGCACCTGAAACACCTTGTTTTGCAATTTTATTTTTCTGTATTTCTCTTCAGTCGGGTTATTGCAGATGTTGTCAATGTACCTGAAAATAAATCCAGTTTTTATTTCTTACAGGTTACATTCAATGTGGTTCAGGGAATGTTAGAAAAAAATATGAGCCTTAAGCCTGTTTGAGCTCACCCCCCCCCCAACCACCCCATCTATAATAATAATAATCCTCTCATTTGATACCTTATCACGTAGTTGAGACATCTCAAAGCGCTTCACGGAATATATTGTAAAGTGAATTGACTACTTGTGGGCAAAACTGAGCAGGTAATTGTGCACAGCAGTGTCCCAAAGGCAGTAGTGGATTTAAAAATCCACGAATGCCTTTGGGACACTGGATTTAGGACTCCAGTCGATTTGTCTATGTCCTCAACACAGCAAAGTGTCCACAAGCAAAATAGGGCGATTTGGTTTGAAAGTTCGGCAAAAATTATACTAAGTGCATTGAATGATGTTTCTGAACTACTTACTTGGCCAGAGTCTCACATGCGATCTTTACTTTCTCCTTGTCCTTGTTAAACGTGTGAATCATCATAATGGAGGAGCCGATGGGATCATCAACTAATCTCTAGATTAAAAGAATTTAATCCATTAGCAAGGCAGTCACACAGCCTGCCCACAGTCTGCAACCGGCTTCATTGGCAAACCGCATAATGTGAAATAGAAACCTGAGATAATAATAATCCTTGCATTTGCTATCGCACCTTATCATGTCGTTGCGATGTCTCAAAGTCCTTTACAGAATATACTGTAAATTAAATTGACTGTATATTTGTGGGTGAAACGCAGCAGCCAATTGTGCACAGCAGTGTCCCACAATCAGTTGTGGATTGATGACCAATTTTTTTTAAGGGATTATTACCCCTGGAAAGCAATCCACCAATTGACAACCAAGTTCCTACTTACTACTAGGTACACAACAACAACAAGATTCCATTTAGAGAGCGCCTTTCACCTCGGGAGGACGTCCCAAGGCGCTGTACAGTTGGGTCAGGACCCGAGCATTGGGGGGGAAATGGTCAGGGGGAGGGGAGGGAAGGGAGGGAGTGAGGAGGGGGTAGAGAGTCGAGAGGGGAGCTGAAGGCACGGTCAAAGAGAAAGGTCTTAAGACTGGCCTTGAAGGAGGAAAGAGAGGAAGCGGCGAAGGCACTGGGGGATGGAGTTCCTGAGCCTCGGGGCTGAAGGCCCGGCCACCGATGAGAGGGTGGTTGGGGCGGGGGATGTGGAGCAGACCGGAGCCAGAGGAACGGAGGGTACAGGCAGGTAAGTAGGGGGATAGTAGGTCAGAGAGGTAGGAGGGAGCGAGGACGTGAATCGCCTTGTAGGTGAGGATGAGGAACTTGAATTCAAGAGGCGTGTGGAGTAAGGAAACTTGCCTAAGGTTTCACCCCGCCCGAGAATCGAACCCGGGTCCTCTCACTTGCGAAGCGAGTGCTCTAACCACTACACTACAGCCAGTTTGACGTTAGATCTTGCATCAAAATATCCATTCTTTCCTGCTCCTTCTGGTAATTCTAGAACCAGTTATCGCACACCAATTGATGAGCAGTTTATTGGGGTGGGGGCGGAATAGGAGAATAAGTATAGCTATTTTGGAGACAGGCAGTGAAAGAGTGACTAATGGAAAGAAATGTATTTCATTATTTGAGTGAACATCACTTTGAGTGTACATCAAAGGAACAGTTTGGAAATAATTGTAACCCAGGGAGTGGCAACTTCACCAGACAGAAGAAAAAAGGGTGCATTGCATAATAATATTTTTGCATTTGATACAGCATCAACTTGTGGAGTCTTGTAGCTCAGTGGTTAGAGCACTCGCTTTGCAAGTGAGAGACCTGAGTTCAATTCCAGGCAGAGGGCGAAACCTTGGGCAAGTTTCCTTACTCCACACAGAGCCTAATAATAATCCCTCCAAAACAAAAACAATAATAAATTGGTCATTTTCAATCTACGACTGTTTGTGGGACATTGCTGTGCGCAATTGGCTGCCGCGTTCACCCACAAATATACAGTCAATTCACTTTACAGTGTGTTGTGTGAAGCGCTTTGGGACGTCCTCAAATGCAAGGATTATTATTATTACTGGATCTGGTCTTAATTCAACCGAGATAGTTTCAGCTATCAACAAAGTGCTATTTGAATATTTACCGGAGGAGTCATAAGTTCCAAACACCCAAATGCTAACTTTTTCTTCTTATTCCTCACACCTTTTTTCTGTTTGAGCGCTGGCCGTTTGCCTCCGCCCTTACACCTCATATGGTGTGTAGGGTCTCCTCCCACCTCACCACTACTCATCTTTTACTGGTAGTCAAGGGACAGGATTTACTGTAAAGTGTAGTGGCTGTGGATTTTTGTAGGTGAATTTGCACAAAGCCAATAACATGACCAACAGCATCATGGCTCAGCAACAAAAGATACTGTGAGGTCATCAGATAATCTCCCCCACACCCCTCGCTGCATAACATACACACCCTGTCCCCACCAATTCACACACACACACCTCCATTCTCCTCCCCATACACGCACACCCCATAACTCTTTACCACTTTCTGTTTGCCTGAAGAAGGTTTCTCTGAACATCTTAGCCAACAAACCCTCAGGTAAAATTGGTGGTACCTCGTGGCTGCTTGTGGGACATGGTTTTGTGCAAATTCACATACAAAAATCCACAGCCACTGCACTTTATAGTAAATCTTGTGAAGTGTTTTGAGACGTCCTCCTATATCAAATGCGAGGGTGCTTATTATTTCTAGCGGTTATTATTTTAAATATTTTAGGAAAATATTTCAACATCTGTACGGATTTAAAAGAGCCTTCATTTTATTTATTTAAATGAATTAATCATTTTAATAAATTATGAATCAAAGCTTTGTTCATGCAAGATACAAGTCCAAAGTCATGAGCTTCTCTTCCATGCCCCTGAATAAAGGAGAGAGAACGAAAGGTGAACACAGTCAACGTGGAATGAATGAGAGGTCAGAATTTTTAATATTGGCCTCACAGTCCATGCTGCCAAACAATAACATTGCAGTGAATTGGAACATAACAATTACTCCATTCTTTCAGGCATTTATACCTGACACGAATTCCTCTGAACGATTAATACAAAAATGAAAAAAAACTGAAGAATTATAAATCGGTAGTTTAGACCAATTTTGTGTCCATTTTGGTTACTCTGCTCTAGGAAGGATGTCAGGGCCATAGCAAAAGTGTAGAGGAAATTTATTAGGATGATCCTGGATAAGAGTGATTTGACATATAAGCAGAAAGCTGAGGGGAGACCTGATCCAAGGTCTTTAACATGATGAGTTACTCCGCCATTGCCTCACCCCTCAGGCTGCCGAAACCCTCATCAACACATTCGTCACCTCAAGGCTTGATTACAGGAACTCCCTCCTCATTGACCAAAGGCGCGGTCGAAAAGAAAGGTCTTCAGCAGAGACCTGAAAATGGGAAGGGAGTGAGGAAGGCAGTTCCAGAGCCTCAGGGCATATGGCTGAAGGCACGGCCGCCGAGGGTGGAGCGGAGGACTTGGGGGACGAGGAGGAGGCCAGACCCGTGGAAAGAAGGCAACGGGTACTGTTTTGAGGAGAAAGGAGGTCAGAGAGATAGGGGGGTGCAGAGGAGTGCAGGGATTTCAATACAAAGGTGAGGATCTTGAAATCCTCAGATACCCAGCATTCGGTTTGTCCTATTGTAATTCCCCGCCGGTCTGTAGATTTCCCAGCGCTTCACACAGTCAAGGTTTGCGGGAATTAGGATACAGGTCAGGGACCCGTTGTATAAACCAACAGTTTGATGAGACTTGCAAGATTTCTGTTTAATACCCCGGGTACAAACGAATACATCATCAGAGACGTGAAGAATGACCATGGGAAGGGCAGCGAGAACACAATTTCATGTACATTCTTCCAGCGCCTTTCACGCCGGGAGGACATCTCAAAGTGTTCACAATGCTGAACGGGCACCTGAGCCTGGGAGTGGTGAGAGCCAAGGGCGGTATGGGGAATAATAAATAATAATCATCATCTTTGCATTTGGTAAAGAGCCTTATTATGGCCTCGAGAGGTCTCAAAGTACTTCACAGATTATACTGTACAGTGTGTATTTGGGCAAAGATGACCAAACTTCACAAATAATTACCGTCAAAGAAGTACGTTTTGAGATGGACCTTAAGAAAATATACCTGAAAACCTTCAGATGGGAATGGAAAGGGTGAAAATGAACAGTGAGCTAAAGAAGCTGTATCCACTCCAGCCTCGCACCAAAATAATTTTCACAAATAATAATCCTTACATTTTGATATAGTGCTTTTCAAGTCTTTCAGACTTCTCAAAGCGCTTCACAGAATATACTGTAAAGTGAATTGACTGTATATTTGTGGGCGAAGCTTTATTTCAGAACTTAACATGAACAAAGGCCTTTGAATCACCACATTGTAATGTAACAGATAATAATAAAATCTTGCATTATTACGTCGTTGAGACATCATCTTAAAGCGCTTCACAGGATATACTGTAAAGTGTAGTAGCTCTGTATTTTGTGGGCGAAACTCCACAATAACTGCATCTAAAAGCACCAGTTATACATACGACTTACCGTAAGTAAAGCCTCCTTAATATGAGCCTCCCTTTCGGTTTTATGTACAGAGATGGCTGTTAAAGGGCAGATAAAGTACACACCATTGACCGAGAGATCAGTGCGACATTCCCTGTTACTGTTGCTGGATGCCTAGGATCACAAGAAAGAGGTTTCAGAGCATTGGTACTTTTCAAACTGTAAAAATACCTGGAAGATCATGGTAGTTAATTCACGTTTTTGAGAACTGGGAAAGAGCAAGATGCAGATACAAGCTTCAAATCAGGCATTACGTTTAGCATTGGTCAATTCTGAGTAGTTTTGTGCTTTTGATTCAAACCCACTATAGATTAAGTCCTTGAGGTGAAAGGGACAGTGTTCCTTTCAATGCCCTGTGTTATGTCTCGCCCATGTCCGTGTATATGGAACTGAATTGTTTCTCGGTGATATCACAAATTAATTTGGTCCCCAACATTCAATACGGTCACAGAGGCATGATGTGTTTCTGCTACATGTGTTGGTCTGTATCTCCCACGTCTAATAGACAGACCCGCTCACCGATATGAAGATGGTACAATAAGTAGAAACAATTGTAAATATAAATGAAGTGACAAAATTTATAACAATTAAATAGGAATAGAGATTTAGGACTAACTTTTTTTATATAGTTTTATATAGTTGATCACTACATTGAAATGTCTCTAAGTGCTTCACAAGTACTTATGTGTCAGCCATTTATGCCAGCACACAAACAATAATAATAATAATCCTTGTATTTGATATAGCGCCTTATCGCGCCTTCTAGACGTCTCAAAGGGCTTCACAGAGTATACTGGGAAGTGAATTGACTGTATATTTGTGGGAGAAACGCTGCAGCCAATTGCGCACAACAGTATCCCACAAACAGTCATGAATTGAGTGACTACATTACTATTTTTTTTAGGCATTTTATCCCCAGAAAAGCGATCCGCCAATCGAGTAACAACCAGGTTCTTACTGACTGCTGGGTAAACAGCGGCATGTGGAGTAAGGAAACCTGCCCAACATTTCACCCTGCCGGGAATCAAACCCAGGTCTCCCGCTTGTGAGGCGAGTGCTCTAACCACTGAGCTACAGGACTCCACTGACAGGACTCAAATGACAAAGATTGTTGGCCAGGTCACCGGGATAAGCTCCATTCTCTTTTCGAATTGTGTCATGGGAATGTCCACTTCAACAAGCAGATGTTCGGTTAACGTCTCATCCAACAATCTGCACACCTCCAGAACTGGAGTGTCCGCCGAGACTATGAGCTCAAATCCTGATGTGAGGCTTGACTAAAACTACAGTACACAGCTTTTTTAAAATCATGCGGAAGACTTGCAGCACTTAATATTGAAGACATTAGCACAGTATTCACCTGACTGTTCTGAGATCTAGCTTCATTGTGTGCAGCACTGCTCTTCTTTACTGTAATAAAACAAAAGATAAAATAATTTTGTTAGCAATTCATTTTGAACAATTGAGTTGGTCGGAATGAACAATCTCGTGCAGTAATCTTGTGTTGCTGGTTTCAGGGGAGGGAGATGGCCTTTGATTTGTCACTTTCATGTATAAATGAGTTTTATACTATCAGTGGAATCTCAGATGTATAAGGGTGTATAGTGTTTACAGTTCAAAATCCTTGTCCTTGCCTTCAAAGCCCTCCACTGACTTCCACCTTACCTCTGTGACCTGCTAACTCCGTACAGACCTGCCCGCTCCCTCCGCTCAGTGGTCTCTGGTCTGTTCCATGTCCCCGTTCAGTCCCCGCCCCACCTTTGGCGGTCGGGCCTTCAGCCTCCCTGTCCCCCCCAGTCTTTGGAACTCCATCCCACAATCCCTTCACCTCGCCCCCTCCCTGGCCTCCTTCAAGACCCATTTCAAGACCGCGCCTTCGTTCACCCTCCTACCCCCACCCTCCCTGCTCTCCACCCCTTCCTGATCTCAACCCCTAGCTCGATGCAAATCCCTGCCTGTCTAGCGTCTTGGGACGTCCTCCCGATGTGACAAGTGCTGTGTAAATGTAATTGTTTGCTGTAGTTTTCACTGTGCAAGTGTAGAAATGGCTGAGTGTGTGAGGAGAGTCACACGTACCGTCCATCTTCAAGCTGCTGGGCCCAGGAGATCCTCGCGCTCGGTGCTGGTTGATGTCCAGTCTGGTCATAGCAGCAGCGGCTGCCATCTGAGCCTCCTCAGCAGGCCCCTTGCGAGGCTTTTCGGGGGCCTTGGCTTTGATTTCCACGGGTTTCGGGCTGGCGGGTGCAACAGAAACAAGAAAAATTTAAGTTCGGGATTTCAGATACTTCGAAAGGTGCCTCTGCAGGTTTGTACCAGAAGCATTTTTAGTGTCTACAAAAAATATTGAACAGTACACACAGGCATTGCTGCTTTTGCAAAAGGGCACTGAAACACTGACCGTGTCTAACCAGCATCTGATGTAGTGCCTTACTACATTGGGCCATCTGAGATGCTTCACGGTAATTACTGTTAAGTGTAGTGACTGTGTATTTGTAGACAATTCTCTCTGTAATAAAATTTTCTCTGGTAAGGTCACGCCTTCCTGGGTTGTCAAGAGGAGATTTCTGCCCTGGAAAGGAGAACGATGTTTCTCTGCCCAGCCCCCACTCCCTTCCCTCACCTGCTCACCCAGACACATGGAATGCTGTTCAGACATTCACATCTGGGGATGTCATTTGATGAAGTGTCAAATCTGAAATTGATGTATGCAATTGGCTGCCACGAAAATATAGAGTCAATTCACTGTGTAGCATATTCCATGAAGCACATTGAGACCTCTCAACGACATGATAAGGTGCTATATCTAATGCAAGGATTATTATTATTATAAATGTTCACCAATCTGGATGCTGGTTTTACCTGCTGTGCATTTCCAGCATTTTCTGCTTTCATTTCAGATTGCCACCATCCACAGGGCTTTCTCTCTAGGAATTCCTCTAGGGCTTTCTCTCCTGATTGTGGACAATTGAGAAGACGTTCGATCGAGACAACAGACTGGACACAACAAACTGCTCAAATCCCAAGTGGAAGACGTGGAGATAATCCAACCCACATCAGCAGGATGTAACTCACAAGTTACATTATTTTTGTGCATCGCTATTGCTGCCAGCTTAATTATCACACTGGGGGTTGAAATGATGATGCACGTGATCCCTTATGATGACACCCTATGTCATCCCTAAGTTTACTGTACAGACCAGAATAACATATTCGACTAAAAAGTCAGTCAGCACTTAGAGGCAGTGGCAAAAAGTAGGTTTCCTTCTAGGAAGGTGGGAATGAGATACTTAGATTCAAACGTCTGCACAACAAGAATAGATTTGGTTCTAGATTCTTTAAAAAGATTTGGTTTACAAACCTCCCTGAATTTATAACTAACTTTAGGAGCCATTGGAGGTGCGGAGAAGGTAAACGGGTGGGGGGGGTTAAGGGGGAGTAAGGAAGTCCAATATTACAAGGGAAGAAGTGAATGTTCAACAAACAAAACAGGGTATTGTTAGAATACGCTTAAACTAGGGTTTTTACTGGGTCATCAGGTGAAATGCTGTGTCCGCCTCTACAGGGATAAAGCAATGCATTTCTTCCCCCATTAAAATCATTTTAAACTGAAATAATCATGGTTAGGATTGCATGGGCTGGGAAATGGACTTAGATGAGTCAATTGTGGGAGCTGAGTGTCTGCAAGGAGCACTCACACAAGTTAGATGAAAACAATATGCCCTTTGACACGATTGCACCAGTGTAACATTTCTAATAGAGGTGGGAGGGGAGCAATTATTAGGAACAGAACAATTAAGGACAGTCCTTTCACCTCTGGAAAATGGGTTCCCTTCCAGCCCAAACCGATCAAACGAGCAGATTGTTTGTTTGTTTTACACAGCTTAAGTGCAATGAGAAGGTCTCATATCTCAAGACACTCCCAAGTGGGCACAAGAGCGCAAAAAAAAACTCAATACCCTACTTGGGAGCAGGAAATAGTTTAAAAATGATGCGCAACTTTCCGAAATGAAAATTGTGATAATTGCTGAACTCCTAATGGCAAAGAACAGTCTCGGTGGTAATGCCTTCCATCTGAGCCAACCAACCCACAAGGGCAACACGGTAACGTGTCGTGGAGGTACAGACCTGGAACCTAGTGGATTTCAGGAGGATTGCGGAAACAAAGGAAAGATTCAAAGCATTACCTGAATGCGTAACTTATAATTGTCACCTAAAGTTAAATCTGCCCAGTTTATATTAATGTTTCTGGTTTAAGTATGCAAGTTAGAACTTCAATTCCTTACCATCAATGAGGAAATTCCCAACTTCTCAGTGACAAGCTAGTTGTGAGAGTACAGTATTAAAATCTCTCTCAATGATCCATCATCGCAGATTGGTTTTCAATAGATTACAATACAATTTATATAGCACCTTTCACATCAAAAATGCACATCGCCACTGTCTCACACCGCAGGCCGCTGAAACGCTCATACACGCATTCAGAACATCCAGCCTCGCCAATTCAAACTCTCTGCTTGTCGGCCTCCCCAACTCCTCCCTCCATAGGCTACCGATCATCCAGAACTCTGCAACCCGTGTCCTCTCCCGCACTACGTTCCGTGACCCTATCACCCCCATCCTCGCCTGACTCCACTGGCTTCCCATCACACAGAGGATACAGTTCAAGATCCTGGTCCTCATCTTCAAAGCTCTCCATGGTCTTGCTCCACCCTACCTCTGCGACCTCCTAACCCACTACCAACCTGCTCTCTCCCTACTCAGCGAGCTCTGGCCTGCTTCATGTCCGCCTCGCCCGCCCCACCATTCGCAGGTGGACCTTCAGCCACTCTGCCCCCACCCTCTGGACCTCCATCCCGCAGTCCCTCCGCCTCGCCCCCTTCCCTCCTTCAAGGCCCATCTCAAGATCCTCCTCTTCAACTGTGCCTTCGGTCATCCTCCTTCTCCCCCCTAACCCCCACCTTCCCCGATCCTGACCCCCAACTTGGGTCCGAAACACTGATTGTCCATCACCTTGGGACGCTTTCCCAACGTTAAAGGCGCTTTACAAATGTAATTTTGTTGTTGTTGTTTCCAGCACTCTGGACAGAGCCCTGAGGGACGCGGCACAAGACGTTGCGGGGGCTAGAGAAGCCGTTTGTGGAATTGAAGTGGAGATGGTGTGAGAGGTAGGATCTGAACCAGTCAAGGATAGAACCACGAAGGTTGAGGTGAGAGGCGAAGCGGTGGAGGAGGATAGAGTGGTCAATGGTATCGAAGGCAGCAGTGAGGTCAAGGAGGATGAGAAAGCAGAGGGAGGCCTGGTCGCAGATGGACAAAATATAATTTGTCATTTTGACCGAAGCTGTTTCTGTGCTGTGGGCGGCACAGAATGGAAACCCGAATGGAAGATTGAAAGTGCTTTATTGAGACAGTGTGGATCACAGAGCGAGATGGGAAGGCGGAATGTTGACTGAAAGCACAGTCATAGGTTTTTAGAAAGGCTTTGAAGACCGGGACAGAGGGTACAAGGCAAAACTATTTTTGGAGAGAATTCCAGAGAGAATGGGGGTATGCCAGGTCCCACACACTGGAAGGCATCAGTGGATTAGGCATGAATAGATTTCTGAAATGCAGTATAATGCATTCTACTCTGTCTTAGCCTGGCACGCACTCTTGCTCTCACACACAAACCAAATCACAATTTTACCTCTGGGCACTCACCCCAGCAATCACAGGCTCAATTCCCAACCTGTATTTTTTTGATCAGCCAAATGTCTGACTCTTGCGGAATCCCATCACCATGCTTAAAGAGTATCCAGGGCAGGTTGATTTTTTTTGCCCACGAAATACACAGTCACTACACTTTATAGTATATTCTGTAAAGCACTTTGAGGTGTGATAAAGCACTGTATCAAATGCAAGGATTATTATAATATTATTATATTATACATACCGAGTTCCACATTTGTATGAAATCTGCACATGGAAATGTCCTCGTCTCTGAAATGGAAGGCGCTCTCTCTCTCTCCCTGGAGGGATGTCCCCTGCTTACCTAATTCCGAAACGTATTAGGCCCGGGTTGGCAAGAGCCAAGGTTTGGGGACCCCCCAGAGTGTGTGTTGGGGTAACTGCTGGAGTCTAACCGGCTAAAACCGCACAGCTTGGCCATTGAGAGCGCTGTCTGGCCAAGCTTTCCCGATGCTTGTCCAGCTGAGACCACCCTACCCGTTAGGGCTTTGGCTTAACAGGAGCCTAGTGGTTAAGAGTTCCTGCTCCCTAACTTGTTGTTGCTAAGATCCACCCCAAACCGCTATAATCTTATTTGGACATGTCAATCCCTATAAACCGTGTAACTAAATAAAGCCACAGGCTTTAAGGCGAGGCCTTATTAAACATTAACCTGGTTTATTGGGAGGGAATTTAATTACCAGAACTGTCTGATAAATAGATAGTACTTTAATACTATTCCATCATTTGTGTATTCACCAATAAACGTTGCGTTAATAACCTAAATCCGACACTCTGCTGTTACTATATAGATATATAGGGAGTGACACATAATATTGGGCTACTTTTGGGCTACAAAAGAATTGTCATTTCTGGCCATCCTGATTCCCCCACTCTCTCTCCCCCCCACTCCCTCTCTCCCTCCCACTCCTTCACTCCCCCTCCCCCCACTCCTCCACTCCCTCACTCACTCCCATTCCCCCTCCCCCCACTCTCCCCCATTCCCCCTCCCCCACTCTCCCCATTCCCCCTCCCCCATTCCCCCTCCCCCCACTCTCCCCCTCCCCCACTCTCCCCCATTCCCCCTCCCCCCACTCTCCCCATTCCCCTCCCCCCACTCTCCCCCATTCCCCCTCCCCCCACTCTCCCCCATTCCCCCTCCCCCACTCTCCCCCATTCCCCTCCCCCCACTCTCCCCCATTCCCCTCCCCCCACTCTCCCCCATTCCCCCTCCCCCCACTCTCCCCCATTCCCCCTCCCCCCACTCTCCCCATTCCCCCTCCCCCCACTCTCCCCCATTCCCCCTCCCCCCATTCCCCCCCCCCATTCCCCTCCCCCCACTCTCCCCCATTCCCCCTCCCCCACTCTCCCCCCCCATTCCCCCCCCCATTCCCCCTCCCCCACTCTCCCCCCCCCCCCACTCTCCCTCCCCTCTCCCCCCCACCTGTTACCTGGGCTCCACGTTCAGCGCGTGGCCCTGACCCGCGGACTTGAACTTTATGTCGCGCTTCAGGTCCCCGAAGAACTTCTTCATGTTGTCGCTGTCGACACTGTCGGCGGCGGCTCCGACCGCCCCCCCACCGGCCCCACCGTGTTTACAGCCCCGGCCGGAAGTGCGTCACACTCTCCCCCTCCCCCCCGCGCCCCACCGCGCTGGTGCCCGGAAACGACCCCATTCAGCGCCGCACCGGCTGCTGCCAAGGCAACCAGAGGCCGCACAGCCTGGGAGGGTGTGGGGGGGGGGGGGGGCTGACAGGAGGGTCTGGGGGGGGCTGACAGGACGATCTGGGGGGGCTGACAGGAGGGTCTGGGGGGGGCTGACAGGACGATCTGGGGGGGCTGACAGGAGGGTCTCGGGGGGCTGACAGGAAGGTCGGGGGGGGGGCTGATAGGAGGGTCAGGGGTGGGGTGACAGGAGGGTCGGGGGTGGGGTGACAGGAGGGTCGGGGGTGGGGTGACAGGAGGGTCGGGGGGCTGACAGGAGGGTGTGAGGGCTAACAGCCTGGAGTTTTTTTTGAGGGTGTGGGGGCTGACAGGAGGGTCTGGGGGGGTGGGTCTAACAGTCTGGATGGGGAGGGGGCTGACAGGAGAATGTGAGGGCTGATAGCCTGTGTATGAAGGCTATTATTATTATTATAATTATATAGAGTGCACTGGAATGCACTGTCTGGGAGCAGATTCAATAATAACTTTTAAAAGGGAATTTGGTATACAGTGCACTTGAAAATATATATATTTTTTTACAAGGCTATGGGGAAAGAGCAGAGGAGTGGGACTAATTGGGTAGTTCTTCCAAATGCTGGTTATCATATACAACAGGAGCCTCCTGTTCTGCCGAGCCTCATATGTCTCGGTTGAAGTTGTGCAGCCTGCGGACCTCCCCCCCTCCCCTCCATCTTATTCCTCTGACAGCTAAATTTCTGTGGAGCGTCCCTCCGTGGAGAGTGTAAAGATTCCATACCAAGCACAATAACATTTCTATGTGCAAGTACAATAGATACGTGGATACTCTTAGACATGGCGATGGGTTTCAGCATCTATCAGACAACCGGCTGACCCAAAAGAAATGGAAAACAGGCCAAGACGGCCTCAGGTATGATCCTGTTATGTACTGCATTCCCTAACCTCAGCTGGGGGCAATAGTAGAAGCTCTACAGTTAAGCTCAGTGCCTCTGGGTGCAAGTAAAAAAAAATCCTGCCTGCCTTCCAATAACTACAACTGAAAAACGCATTTTGGCGGATCTTGGATGTGAATGGCATGTGCAGAAAAAATACCAGCAGAGACCTGATGATCTGAATGACCTGTTATTGTGTGCTGTACTTATAATCCTTGCATTGGGACTCCCAAAGCCCTTCGCAGTATATACCATAAAGTGCAGTGACTGTATTTGTTTTATGTAACCGACAATTTACACATAGTAATGTCCACAAACAATCATAATGTGAATGAGCAATTTTTTGGGGAGTACTCTTTGGTGGCACTCCAAGAGAAACTCCCTTCTTCTTTTGAATAGTGCCATGGGATTTTTAACAACCATATGAAATGACAGATAAGTCTCGGATTTTCATGTTTCATCTGAAGGACAGCGTAATAATAATAATCCTTGCATTTCATAAAACGCCTTATCACATCTTCTAGACGTCTCAAAGTGCTTCACAGAATATACTGTAAAGTGAATTGACTGTATATTTGAGGGTGAAACGCAGCAGCCAATTGCTCACAGCAGCGTCCCACAAACAGAAGTGGATTGAATTGACCAATTTATTATTTTTTTCTTGAGGGATTATTATTAGGCTCTGTGTGGAGTAAGGAAACTTGCCCAAGGTTTCACCCTGCTGGGAATTGAACCCAGGTCTCTCACTTGCAAAGCGAGTGCTCTAACCACTGAGCTACAGGACTCCACAGCATCTCCGAAATGCAGCACATGGAGTGTCAGCTGAGACTATTTAAATTCTTAATCCGATGTGGGCCTTGAACCCACAATTTTCTGACTCAGAGGCCAGAGTGCTACCAAGAGCCAGGCTTATACACATAAGTACATAACACATGATTCTATGAAATTCTTGCTGTGGGCTCCTCAAAGAAAATTAAAAAAAAAACAACTGAACAGAAGTTTGGGAGAAACATGCTTTGTATAATATGTGGCATAGCTTGGTAGAGCTACTGGTGGGGGTGGTCACCGTAACAAATGATAAATGTCTCGCGAATTAGACCTAATATTCATTGGAATCACTGAAACAAATTCTATTTGTAATTGAGATGAAGTTTAACCAAACTTTCATTCCCAATTCAGAAACTCTGTCTCTGCAAGTTGTGATTTACAATTTATAACTATATATTTTATATTCAGCAGGTATAATTTCAGGCAACTGTCTTGCTTGGAAGAAAGTGACAGTCATGAAGAATGGTGTCAAAAGCTTTGCTCTTAGTGAGATTTCTGGCATAAAGCATGGAGGACTGACTTAACTCCCTATTGTTATCTTGTAGATGAGTAAACTCTTCCAGACGGCCCCACTATCCATACACCATGCATAATCTCATTTGACACTCCAATGCAGGACAGAGAGAGGATAGACATGTTATATAGTTGACCACCCCCAACCAGTCTAGTTGTGTGCACTAAGTTTTTACTTAAGTTGTGATAACATTCTATGTCCCAAATTCGTTGGTAACAACAAGTGACTCAGAAACTTTCATGATACCGGAGATCATTATTCCAGATAGTAAAAAAACACTCAAACTGAAAGATCAAGCAAAAATGCTACTGGGGAAGTTAAATAACATGGCACCTTACATTTTAAAGTGCTTCACAGATGTTTGCTGTCACGCATAGGCAATTTTATTAATTTTTCATTTTGGGGGATAAGCTGGGTGTTTGACACAAGCAGAAACCCACCCAGAGATATTTGTTGCGATGCAATGCACACGCTCTTCCTGAAGGGACATGTCCTGCTTACCTAATTCCGGAAAGTATTAGGCGCAGATTGGCAAAAAAACAAGGTTTGGGGACCACAGAGCGTACATAGAACTCCTGCTGAACTCTAACCAGCCAAAATCACATTTGGTTGCCATTGAGAGAACTGCTTCTCCAGCTTGGCCCACTCTACCCCGTTAGGGCTTAGGCTTGCAGAATTAATGGGAGGTAAGTAGGGTGAATTCCCATCCCAGTGACTGGTCTGCTCTTCCATGCCCTGCCAATGACCCAGCATCATCAACAGTGATATCATCAACAGTACCCTGAAGGACTGAAGTCCTACCTGGCGCATTGATAAATGTTGTAGCCATTTTTCTTTACTTAGCAGGACCAGCAAACAGCCAAAAGACAAAGGGCCAAAGTATTGGCGGGGCGGGGGGGATTGATGACAAGGACAGTGGGAGAGACTCCCTTCTTGTTTTGAACAGTATTGTGGGATCTTTTGACATCCACCTGAACAGGTAGAGAACAACAACAACAACTTGCATTTACCTAGCGCCCACACCAGGTGGCATCTCAGAACGCTTAATAATGGCGGAGCGTGAGGCAAAGCCAAGGGGAGGGGGAAGGTGACCGTAGGCACGGTCGAAGAGAAAGGTCTTCAGGCGCGATCTGAAGATGGGGATGGAGGCAAAGGGGTTGAGGGAGGGAGTTCCAATGTTTCAACTCCAAAGAGTTCCAAAGAGAAGACTTTGGTTTAACGCCTGAAGGATGATACAATGCAGGATCCGCCTCAAGTATTGCACTCGTGCCCGACTTTCTGTGTTGCACTTGAGTTAAACCCCCAGCGTACACACAACCCCTATCAACAACAGCAGCAGCAAATTGCATGATGTTGGGAGGACGGCCAGTCAAGGGTTTGCACCCGAACTGGGGGTTGGAATAAAGAGGGGTGAGGGCCGAAGGGGATGGGGTGGGAGGTTTACCCACAGTCAAAGAGGAAGTTCTTAATAATAGTAATCCTTGCATTTGATGTAGCGCCTTAGCACGTCTTCGAGACGTCCGAAAGCGCTTCGCAGAATATACCGTAAAGCGTAGCGACTGTGTATTTCGTGGGCGAAACGCGGCAGCCGATTGCGCACAGCAGCGATCCCACACACAGCCGTGGGTTGAAGTGACCAAATTATTATTATTATCATCATCTTTTTTTTGAGAACCAAGAGAGGAAAGAGCTTAAGAGCATCAAGAAGAATCCAACCCCTTCTGTCCCCCCCCCCACACACACACACACACACACTCCATCACTGGTGCGCCCTCAACCTAACCTGATTCTCCTCGCTCACCACCCCCCCGCCCCCTCTCGCCTGACGTCGCGCGACTGACAGCCGCACCGGCCAATGGCAGGCGGCGGGGCGGACCCCACCGGGAGAGATGATTGGCGGAGGCGGCGGCAGCAGGTTAGGTAGCCGCCCCTCACTGTCTCCCTCTCCCCCGCCCCCCCCCGGGGTTGAATTGTGCCGTTGGCTCCCAGTCGGACGGCACCGAACCCTCCCCTCCCGCTGAGAGACACAGACACACACACACACACAGAGAGGGAAGGAAAACGAAAATGCCTCACAATTTCAAGCCGGGAGACCTGGTGTTCGCCAAGATGAAGGGTTACCCGCACTGGCCGGCCAGGGTGAGCTGAAAGCTGAGCGCCGCGCTTTGGCGGGAGAGGGAGAGAGGGAGAGGGGGGGGAGAGCGCGAGCGACAACCGCCGCGATCACCTCGAGCGTCCGTCCGCTCGCCTGTCACCCACCACCTCACTCACCACCGACCGACGACCCGCGGCGTCGCGAGCGCGGTTTACTCCCCTTCACTCTCCCCCCCCCCCTCTCCCTCCCTCCCTCTCCCCCCGGTCCTTCCTTTCTCTCCCTCCATCTCTTCTCCTCTCGGGGCGCAAACAATGAATTTATGAGGTAAAAAAAAAGTGGGCGCTGGCGAGGCGGAGAGGCCTGGGCCGGCGCTGTTGCCATATTGGCGCCCCCCGTTCCCAGCCCTCGCCTCGCTACCGACTCGCCGCCAACGGGGCTGCATGTTTACCAGCACCGGCCTGTGTTTTATTTGTGTGTGTGTGTTGTGCGTGTGGTAAAATGTTTGGGGGGGGGGTTTCGAGGAGAAGGAGGAGGGGAAAAGAGAGAGAGAGAGACGCGGTGTTGTCCGCCGTCTATTGGTCTAGGCGCATGCGTGAGTGTTGCTGGTGTTGGGGCGGACGCCGGAGCGGCGCGGCTCGGTGTCGCGGTGCACCCTGGGGGGTGTAGTTCCTCGCGTGGATGTTGCTGGGAGGCCGCTGGCCTGGGGGACGACATGTCCCGGCCTCCCCCGCGGCGGCGGCGGCGGCCGAGGCTGGTGCTTGGGCACCGTCACCTGACCCAGTTCTCTGCGGAGAGTTCAGGTATCCGCTACGTACAGTCCGTCTCTCTCTGGGTCAGGAGGTTGTGGGTTCGAGTCGGATCCTTCCCCCACCACCACACACTCGTTTGGGCTGACCCTTTTTTGCACTGTTGTGTCAATAGCAACAACAACGACGACGACAACAACAGCAGCAGCAACTTGCGCTTATATACTTTTTTTTACAAAAAAATTATAATTTGGTCACTTCAAATCCGTGACCGTTTCCTGGACGCCGCCGCCGCGCGGACGCACGCAATCGGCTGCCGCGTTCCGCCTGCAAAATGCACAGTTGGTTCACTTTGCGGTGTACGTCCGTCCTGTGAAGGGCTCCGCGACGTCTCCCCAGACCTGATCAAGGCGCTGTTTCAAACGCAAGGGTTATTATTATTATTATGATGTAGCGCACTTTACGTGGGGTAGCGTCCCGAGCGCTACAACCCCCAGGCCGCACAGGGTCTCGCGCACAGACGTCAGAATTACAGAAATCTGTATTCGGCCCATTGCGGCTGTGTTGACTTTTTGAAAGTTAGATACCATCATTTGTTAGTCTACGAATACGCAGTCACTACACTTGACAGCGAATCCTGTGGCGCGCTTTGAGCCATCTCAACGACGTATGGCAGTGTAACATGCTGGGGGTTATTATCAGAGCTCCTGTTTGCCAGTTTTTCAGGTGGGCTTTAAAAATCCATGACACCGTTCGCAAAAAGAGCGTTTCTCCCAATGTCTTTTCGTTCGGCGCTTTTTGTAGGACTTATAAATACATTCACCATCTTAACAGTAATGGTGAATAGATTCAAATAATCTATTGTGGAGTCCTGTAGCTCAGTGGTTAGAGCACTCACCTTGCAAGCGAGACACCTGGGTTCAATTCCAGGAAGGGCGAAACCTTGGGCAAGTTTCCTTATTCCGCACTCCTCCAAAACAAACAAACAAAAATTGGTCATTTTCAATCCACACTGCTCTGCGCAATTGGCTGCTGCGTTTCACCCATAAACATACAGTCAATTCACTTTGCAGTCTATCTTGTGAAGCGCTTTGAGAAGTTGAGAAGACGTGTAAAGCGCTATATCGACTGCAAGATTATTATTATTTGCGATGTAAAAAGCATCTGCTGATCAAGTTGATTTTATATGAACAAACTAGACTGATACTGCGTTCTAAACTACAATTTTGTATTGCTTTAAATCTTAGAATATTTGGTGCAAATTGATAAATCTTCCCTTGCTGTCACTTATTCAAGGGAATTGGACAAATCCTTCAGGTAAAATAATATTATTAGGTAACTGAAAAGAGCAAGTAACATCACCTCAACTCGATGTATGAATATCCTTCTGTACAGTAAACATTATTTGATTCTACTACAAAATGCAATTAAGTGTATCTTCTTTCAAATTACTGTTTTGTTTTATACTGTTATGTCTGTTTGGAAAACTGGGTTTAGATTATTTAAAACATTTAAAGTACATTGTTGTAGGGTGGTTATTGGGTGTTGGGTCTGTTTTTGTTAGCCACAGAGTGCTGATAAATTGTGGTGACATTTCCATTGAACATTGTGCAATTCCTCTAATGGTTTTTTTGCATTTGTTTAAAAAAATCTTCAATGGCCAATATAAGTATTAGAGAGTTGTGCAGCTATGTCAAGATAAATGCACCCTTTGTCTGATATCGATATAAACATAGCACTTAACTGCTCTTTAAAAGACATGATAGGCTGAATGGCCTTCTTCTGCACTGGTACATTTCTATGGTTCCTTCTTTAAAGAATAAATTTTTACTTACCACAAGAGTAAATGTATTTATATAGTCTCCAGTCAACAATATATGCAGTACAATATCTCTAAAACTCACAATCTGTATAATAGTTACTTCTTAATCAAATGTTTATTGTTATTTCCCTTGTGATAAGTAAGTATGAGCATGGAGAATTATTGCTTCTTTTTCTCCAGTATGCTGGAACATTCTTGATTTTACATGCTACTTTTCTGCTCAAGTTTAATACTGCAGTGAAATCTGATGTGTTTTTTTACTCTTCATGTGTAGTGTTTAATTGCATCACACACAGACATTGGAATCATGGAAATCTACATGTGGCCCATTGTGTCTTTGCTGACTCTTTGAAAGTAACATGCTTGCCCGACTGAGATAATTTTTTTTGAAAATATATATTTATAAAGTATTTGGTACAACAGAAATCCAAAGCGAACACAAGTGTACAACATCTTCTGTTACAATTTTTTTCCCCTTTCTCCCGAAACAAAAAAAATTCTGTTGTTTAAGGTACATTCCTTCACTGCACATAGGTTGTGCACATGTTTTTTGGGACGCTCGCTTTAAAACAGTCGCCCCTGTGTACACCACATCCATATGCGTGCCTGCGCACACCCTGATAAGGTGCACCTGCCGTTTTCGGAAGAGAGAAGGGGCAGAAATCCATTCACGACGCTTAATAATTTTGAAGCAAGCACTTAAGACTGCTCCCTCCCTCACATCATTTAAGGTCCATCTCAAGATTACCACACTTTGGTCAACTTTCCCCTCCCATTGTCAGCTCAGGTCACAGCCAGCAGTGTTAAGTGCTTTAAGACGTTCTCCCGATGTGAAAGGTGCTACATGAATGCAAATTATATTGCAAGAAGTATGCTGAATTGGGTTAAGATGATTAATTTGTCAAATAGTTTTGACGGAGATTCTCCCAGTGTCTTGGCCAACAATCCCCTAAGTAAAATTGGTCCTTCACTTCATAGCTGTTTCTGAGACATTGCTGTGCACAAATTGGCTGCTGAGTTTATCTACAAAAAACAGTCAGTACACTTCACAGTAAATTCTGTGAAGAGCTTTGAGTTGACCTCTGGATGTGAAAGGTGCTATATCAAATGCAAGGTTTATTATTATATTCCCCCTTTGAGAGTAGAAAGTTGTGGCTGTGATTGCTGTTGTCACTTTCAGACACCCATCTTGCTTCCTGCATTTCTTAATCTTCAGGAATTTTTCATTGGAACTCTGGCTTCTGAATGGAAGTGACTGACTTTGTACTACAACAGCTATTACTACAGTTCACTTAGCACCTTTCACATAAAAGAATCATCTCTAGTGCTTCATAGAATGAAATTAATTAGAAATGAAGTGAGCTTTGTCATGGAGACTTACATTCCGCTCTTTGTCAAGCCACTCATATTTTAAGATGAATCCTGAAGCACAATTAAAGAGTATTTCTTCTGGGACGAGTTTCTAAGTAACTGCTAAACATGAACAGTTTTCTTATTTTCCTTTGGGAAGAAAATTATATTTTCTGCATTCATTAACTTTGATTTTTTTGGGGGGCGTGGGAAATTAACTTTTGCCCATTACATTTAACATTAACGGATATATATGATGCAATTTTATTGGACATCCACACCATGCCTGAACTATCTGTGTTAAAACATTTTAATTTATGGTAGTCCTTAAAATAGATCTATGTAATGTGATGTTCTTGACATGATCATTCTTGCTAGCATTGCCAAGGCTGCCATTTTGGAACCTGTCTCTAGAGAACTAATCTGTCTCGGTTTGCATTAAACAGAATTTTTTAAAAAAATTATACATTTTCTAATTTATAGAGTTGCTTAAAATTTCACAGGTGATGCTTCCAGTGACAGACCTGGTGTTTTTAAAAATATCTCAGTTGAGGCAACTGCTTAAAGCATCTATCTCCCACAAATATGTCTGTTTTTACCTTAATTCAGAAAAATTGCAGAGTTGGATGTAAACTTGTTTCAATGAAATGCTGGATTTTGGGAATTGAAGTTTCTAGTATTGGTCTGTGTTTTGTTTATTAGCCATATTTTATTCTGAAATTTGTGTTCGCCGTGTGTTAAGGAATGTAATTGCAGGTCATTATTCTGCATCTGATGGGAGCCTCGCATTCAGTAAATTTGTTTTCAGTTGAGAGCAGCCTAGCCTGGTGATATTTATGGGTCCTAAGGTCACTTTCATTGTGTGTGTGATTTTTCGGTACTTTATGCAAATTTGTTAGAAGCTGAAAATTAAGTCACCAGCGGTTTTGCTACAGCAAAAGTCAAAATGTTTTGTGTTGTACTTTGTTTATAGTGTAGTCTTAATTTTAAAACTTTTTCTACAACTTTTTTTTAAATGGCTACAGAAATCTGACTTCAAAGTTGAGACTGAATTCATCAATTGCTTATTTATGCTCTAAAATGCTATATGATAGAGTAATTTGAGACCCTGGTGGATTTGCTCCGC